GACGGTGGTGAAAGGTGGCTGTAGTGGTGGTGGAAAGCGGCGGCGGCTGTGGTAGCAGGGGGCTGTGGCGGTGGCAGTGGTAGTGAAATGCAGTAGTAGTGGTGGTGGTGGAAGGTGGTGGCAGTGGTGAAAGGCGATGGCGGCGGCGGTAGTGGAAGGTGGTGAAAGGCGATGGCAATGGTGGTGGTGGAAGGTGGTGGTGGTAGCGGTGGTGAAAGGCCGCGGTGGTGGTTGCGGCAAACGGTGGCAGTAGCGGTGGTGGTGGTAGTGAAAGGTAGTAGCAGTGGTGGTGGTGGAAGGCGGTGACAGTGGTGAAAGACGATGACGGTTGTGGTAGTGGAAAGTGGTGGGCAATGGTGGAAGGCAGTGGTAGTGGTGGTGGTGGTGAAAGGCGGAGATGATTGTGGACTTGGAATATGAGGGTGTTTTGGAAGTCCATTTTTTAAAATAAATTACTTGGGAATGGAATGGCCATTCCATAGGTTTAGTTATGGAGTAGATTTTCATTCACAGGAATGAATTTTCATTCCAATGGAATGACTATTCCCACTTTAAGTTGCATACCAAATAAATGAATGGTTGGAATGGACATTCCATTTCATTCCATTCCTTCACACCAAACGTAACATTAAAGAATATCGGTATAATTAGAGGCATTTTCGGCTACTTAATGAAATTGAGATAAATCTAAGATTATGTGAGTATTATTTACATTTGATGAAATAGTAATGTTAACATGAGAGTTTTTAGTGTGATTTTTATTATTTAATTAATGAATTAAAAAAAAAAAATAACTTATTTAATTTTTCATACATTTCAAAAACTGTTTTGATCCAATGATTAAACAAAGAGACCTCGTAACACTTGAGAAAGCTCTGGAAATATCATTACTCTTTCATAAAATATAATTTGATCCAAAATAAAAATTAATTGCCTTTAACATCAGAGATAAACGCCTAAGTCATGTCAAGACAAAATGGGCCATCAGTGCATTTAGTATCAAATATTAACTAAACATCAGTATAACTTAAAATAATGTCTGCTTCCAATATATATATATATATATAATGGTGGCTTCATCTAGCACATGAATGTTTAATATTCTACTGCACCTTATCTGCAAGTTCTGAGGCAGTGAACACAAAACACCAACAGGTTTTACAGAATTCTTTGACTAAATATATTTGATTAGCTATTAATAATAAAAAAAAAACAAGTAGTCTTTAATTAATTATGCCAATTCCTTAACTTTAAAATTATTCGTCCTAAATTTATTGTAAAATCTCTCCAAATTATATTACCGAATACCAAAATTATTGTGGCTCAGTAGTATCTCTTTTACTTTTCAAAATGAATGGTAAAAATTTGAATCTTCAAAGGAAGAAAGTGTGTGTAAGTGGTGTGTGTAAATTTCTAGCCAATAATATAACAAAAAAAAAAAAAAAAATTATATATATATCACCGTCTATTACGTGACTTTTGATCTCAATAATTTAATTTTAAAATAGAAAAAGAAATGCAAGTTATAAAACATGAATAATTAAAATAACTATTGATAACCTTAAAAATATAAGAGTGAACTCAAGTTAAAAGATAAATAACAAAATTGTCGCAACATGATCAGCTTTATCATCTCTTTTCTTCATCTAAACAATTATAGATGAGGAAAGAAGGTGATAATAGTTGCATTAGTAACTTAGAGCAACTTCAATGAACTGCTATTTGGGCTGTTATTTTTAAAATATAACATGTGAGTTTAAAATAGGCTTTCCAATAACATGCCAAATGGGCTACTAAAATATATCTTTGCCAAATGTTGTGTCAAATATAACACAACATAACTATTGCTTTCTTCTTTCTCGTATGGTCTGCCAATTTGGTGTTGTACTTGTGTATATATATATATGTCAGTTGTGCTTGTATATATTTATATATGTCAATGTTGTGTGTATATATATGTATATGTCTGCTGTGTGTATATATATGTGTGTGTGTATATATATGTCTGTTGTGCTTGTATATATATATATATATATATATATATATATATATATATGTATGTCAACGTTTTTATTTATTTATTTATAATAAGGCAAATAAGCTAAATAAAATACAAACACTCAAAAAAAAAAAAAAAAAAAAAAAAAAAATGGTTGTTGAAAATTGTAGTTGGGAATGGTAGTTGAAAAATAATAGTTGTTGTATTAAAAAATAGCATTTTGGTTGAAATGCACCATTGGAGCAGAATTGCTAAGATATAACATTTTGATACTGTAAATCCTCTCAAAATATAAATTTAACATGTGAAAATGACATTTTGCATTGGAGATGGTCTTAGTAAGTTTTTTTATTTTTTAGGTTAACAGTCTTGGTAAGTTGTGTTGTCTTTTTTCTTCTTTTTTTCCTCCTCCCACAAAATTATACATATAATTTACATCTAATGGCGCAGAGTGGGCATTTGGTCTAGTGGCATGATTCTCGCTTAGGGTGCGAGAGGTCCCGAGTTCAATTCTCGGAATGCCCCTGTTTGGTGTTTTTTTTTTTTTTATTTCCAATTCTAGATACAAAGTTCATATACCACCATAATTAATTGTCAAATTCTAAAATACAATATTAAGCATCAACGTGATTGCTAATTAACTAACTAACCAACCACAGAGTTTAAGTATGCCGTACCAGTCCTCCTCATTTCCATAAACGCAGAGCAGTGTACATCACAAACCATAATCATCTGGGAGACATTATTCAGATCAGGATAGAGTTGTTGGGCTTTAAGTGCAACCTCCCATTAACCCTGACCACCGCAAACCCAAAGGAAAGAGAAGGGAAATCAATTGAACCTCTAAAGTAAAAAGGTAAAAAGGTTTTAAGGGTTCAAGTTAAATAAATAAATAAAAATTAATTATGCATTGCGGGTTTAAAATTTAAATGTATGTAAAATTCCCAGATGCCATTAAGGATGTGTCATGTCATATGCTCGTAAGGTTAAACAATCCAATGTAGATTTCAGACACCCAAAAAAACAAGAAGAAACCAAAAAAAAAAAAAAAAAAGGTTAAAAAATGAAAAACCACTTTTGGTTTTCAAAAATATACGAATCAAAAGGAACTATTGGGAAATCAAAGTTCAAAAATTCTTCAACCCAGACCCTTGTTGCTTAAAACAGTTTCTGTTGATTTTTTCAAGATAACATGGAACAGACACAGAAAGCAAATGCAAACCCGGATTCACGAACCATCCTTGATGAATTTAAACACCCCATATTGCATGCCAATATTTTTCACAAAACGGAAAGGTTTCACTATTCACACTATCAACCAAATAATTAACTCTCATTAAGAAGAAAAATATTAAACCAACCATATTAACACAATAAACTAACTCAGCAAAATCATTAACCAAATAATCTTTTCAAGTTTGTGCATTTATTACTTCAATTACCAAACCCTACACCTCAGCGGAACAACAAAAACCCAGAACAATGCCGTTCAAGAAATCAACTAAAACGATACCCGCAAGATGTACACACGATATGGTTTTCCAAAATATCAGATTACTTGAACAAAAAAAGGGTGCAAGAATGGAGCAAAAGAGAAATCACGTCTAAGAAATTGAAAAAAAGAAAAAAGAGCAAGCTTGTGTAAACAATAGATGAGATTAAAAAGAGCTTACTCATTTGTCAAACCACAGATTAACTTTCTTGATAACCTGAGAGAGAGAAAAGGAAGCAAAGTCTCATGTCAAAGTCCACCAGTGGGAAGGAAAATTGAAAATCAGAGAGGTCTTGTGTGGTATTTAAACACATTTAATTATACTGATATGGAAGTTAAAAAGGTGTTTGAAAAAAAGGCCAAATTACACTTACTACCGATCTAATTAGGGTTTATTACCGCAACCTTCCACTTCATGCCATGGGTGATGACTTCTTTGCAGCACAAATACTCTTCCAGGCAAAAGATGCATACTCTGGGCAATTGGTAGTAACACTTGTCTATACTATATTTCGAATTGTGTATAGCTTCACTAAGGGGAGGGGGTATCAAAGTTAAAGATCAATAGGGTGGAGGGCACTTTCGGCTTGACCTTTTTATCACTCGGACAATACCGTCACATCTCACTTATGTTATCATTGGTATCATAAAATCGGTGATTTGGATTTGAGATTAGACGAAAGTTGGTTAAAAAAAAGGATGATGGTACCTCACTCTCTATTAAGAAGTGCACATATTACTTATCTCACTTATGGTATATATAGCTTTTTTAAAACACACACCCTCCCCACCAACAACAGTAATTCCTTTCCAAATCTCTGGTTTTATTTTCTACACAAACAGGTTTCTAAAGAAAAAAATGCATTATCAAAAAAGGGAACCAAGCATGTCACCAGAAAAAAATGCATTATCGAAAAAGGGAACCAAGCATTTCACCAGTTTTGTATCCAGAAAATGATACAACTAGCAATATTCATCATGAAACTATTATAAATAAATAAATAATCTTATAAAGTTAAGAGAGCAACAAGGAAGAGGGCGGCTGGTCTGATATCGTAGGTCTCAAGTTCAATTTTCAGAATGCCCCACCGGAATTATTCGTTGAAATGCAGAGGAATTTTCTCAGAACTCAATCCATCTTATACAGGAATATCATCTTCGGTTGCGTTAGCAATTAGCACCAGCCATGAAAGAACTAAAAAGGTGATTTCTCGACGCTAGAGGGGTGAAGGTGGAGATATGTCACATAACCAGATTTAATTTTGAACATTGCAAGTATATACAAAGTTCTTTGGTATCATTTACACAATAATTACTCAAAAGACTTGCGATAACACAAAAATCTACCATCACACCAAGAAATGGCCCATAGAGTTCATAAAGCACAATCCCTGATTGAAACTAAACCTCTTTTGTCACAGCAAACTTCACATGCTACCAAGTCATAAGAACTAGTCTACTAGAGCTAATGAGAGTTCTGAAAAACTGTACTTGGAGTTGATAAATGAGTTGCAAATGAAAGAGGGCTACATACTGTTCAAAGCAGGAAATAAAAAAGACCATCATTTGCCGAATTTCGTACAACAACATTAAGCATAAATGTGATTGCTAATATAACCAAAAACAAAGCCTAAAAAGTCTTTTAAAAGACCAAAAAATTAACCACAAAGTTAAGGAGCTCCAGATAAAATTAGAGTTTAATTCAGACTAATGGCTCATATAGTCACATTCCCAATACCATCATTAACCCAAGCTGCAGATTCCACTAAAAAAGATTTGGAACGGGAGAAAGTATTGCTGCATGAAACCAGCACAAACACCTTCTTTGTCTGACCCAGCTAGAAAGAGACCAAATCCCGACATCCAACCGTAGGAAGCACACTCATATCAGGATTGACTCTGTATCTGTTTATACTTCTGAACCTAAACTATGAGCGGTGTCCCTTCGCCAGCAAGGCATAGCAGAAATCTGGGGTGTATACAACTCACGACAAGGGATAAGAGTGATCGCCCTACCCTCGTCAACTTGAACAGAAAAAAAGAACAGGCAATGCTGCGGGATCAAGCTCCCAAAACCCTCTGAGACTGCCACCTCTCTCCTCCGTCAGACGATAAGCAGGAATTTGATGGGAGATTCTGAGCAGCTCGACTCGAGGGATCTTCATCGTCACAGTTGATCCATCTTTAATTTGAGCCTTGAAAACTGACTTATGACCATTCACCAACTCTAAAAGCAAAACTTCTACCCATGAGTAATTTTCCTCAACGATTTCCACCATGTCATAATCACAGTTCTCCAAATCAGAACATTTAATTACAGCATTCCAGTTCTTATATAATGCCCACACCTCACCTTTCCTAGGAAATATGACATAGATATCCTTCTCATCCGTAATTTCTACTTTTAACTGATGAGAAAAGGAATGGGTAGCAGTATATATCTGGGATGTACCCTTTTTAACCTTAAATCTCCCGCATGTAATCGGCATCTTTTTGTCGCACCAGTGCATCATGCCCTTTGGCAGTGAGCAGGCATTAAGCCACTTTACATGCAATATAAACTCCGGCTGAAAGCCAATTCTTTTAACCTGACAGTAGTACTTTGGCAAACCATCTTCATCATTGTACAACGCCCAAAGCTGACCAATCTGAAACTTCTCTGGGGATTTTTCAGCATCAAAATTGTAAAATTCTGGTTCAGGAATTTCATAAGCTTCAGAATTTGAAGGTGAGGCAGAAGCAGTGTCTTCATTAAAATTGTTAGAAACATTCTGATTGGGATCTAAATAAGTCTTCTTATCTACCTGACTCGCAGAGGCATTTCCATCACATTCCATCGTCGGGTCCATCTTTTCTGCTGGAGATTTAGAACAATAACCATTAGGATTCATGTTTCCAGCACCAACATTCAAATCAGGTACTGAAATTTCTTCGAGGTTGGTTGGAAGAGAAGCGGGATCAAGTTCGAAACATCCCTCAGGAACATCTTTTCCTTCCTCCCCACTCATTTGAAAGGAAGGAACGCTGTGAGAGAATCTGAATAATTCATTTGGGGACAATTGAAATGAGTCCACTCCTTTCTTCACAGTTCAGCAAAAGAGACACGCAAAGCCTTTCACCTTACCCAAGTACGCAACAGAAACACCAACATCCTCAGTATACTCTGACAAGACTTCAACGAACTCAAATTCATATTTCCTCTCACTGTCTGGATCAGAGTACCACTTTCTATCCCATTTCTTGAAGAGGGCCCAAGTTTCTCCCTTTCTTGGATATATCTTGTAAGTGTCCCTCTTGCTACCTTTCTCCCAGTAAATCAAATGCGAGAACATACGATGATCTTCAGTGGTTTCAGATTTTCCATGGTTGAACTTTCCACAAGAAACTGGCAAGCCCTCATCTACATGGTTGATCTCATCCGATTCAGGATCTAGCCAAGTTATCCGTAGCTTGAACCCAGGAGAAAGAACCTTCCTAACCCGAGCATAGAATCTAGGCATGGCATCTAGAGTATCATAAACTGCCCAGGTTTGCCCAACCCTAAAGCACTCTTCTCTTCTATCCTTTTCAAAGTCGCTGAAATCAGGATCAGGATATTTAAAAAGTTCTGGATTTGTCACCTCATTAGGGTTTGAATTTGATGAAGACTCACCATTAGCTTTAGAACTTTTCTTATGGTCATCATCTGTTGCTGTTGCATTTTCATTTATCATCTTAATTTCTTCTTTTCCAATTTGCAATCTCCCTTCGATAGAGGCACTTCCATTGTGTTTCACCTCAATCTCAGCTACTTCCATATCAGTACCACAACCAGCTGATTCGTTCGTTTGGGGGGCATATTTTGGTATTGGGTCTTCAGCCTCCTGTCCAGTATAAATGAAGGATCCACTGTACTTTGCCCTTTTTGAAGAAATTATGAAGTCACCATCGTCAATTAAAGTTTCATTACAAGAAACATTCCGTTTAGACCAAGTGGTTCTCTGAGGGTGCTGCTCTCCTAAACATCCAACATTCTGTCCACAGGGAGAATCACCATCCTCATCAACAAGTATGAATTCTTCGGAGTCAGCTCTGCTTCCAGTGTCATGGCTTTCATTGCATTCTGCTACCTGCTTCATTCTCTTACCATTCATCTGCCCTGAGGAATTAATATCCTCATATCGATCCATACTGATTTTGACATCCACATTCCCACATTTTTCATTGGTTTTAGACCTCCCACCATCAGAAGTGTGTGGGAATGACTCCCTTGTTGGTTTCTGATCACCAACGTTTCTCTGAGACCCCACTTTGGAATTGGGATTCTCAAAAGTACTTTGTAGGCCGACCATAGAAGCACCTTGACTGGGAAAATCTTTCTCCTGAGGGAGTGCATGCTGACTCCTGTTGGTCCATGGTGAGCTACTTTGAGTGTTTATCTCAAAGCCAAGGAATGACCATTTGCAACTTCGGCCACTGAGAAATTTGTTGAGCATTTCTATGTCATACTCATACCTTGTGCCACAGAAAGGACAGAGGGTCCCGAATGTTTGTCTGTTGTTAGACCCACATTGGGTTTTCTGTTGTGGCTGCTGGTGTTGGGTTTTCGACTTGAACTGTGAAGAACTTCTCATTCGATTGTTTTGAACCCAAGGCTGTTCCCCAACATTTGAGTTCCCATTCGACTGCTGCGGGGCCCAACTTGGTGCTGTGGGTCTTAGGGAAGTTCTACATTTACTGTCATGCAACATCCTTTGTTCACTGTCCAAAAGGACTCTTTTAGCTTCCCCAATCAGCCTAAAGGCATCTGCTGCGCCAGCAAACTTCTTGTTATCAGGATGAAGCAGGACAGCAAACTTCCCATATTGCTTCCTGACTAATGTCTCATCTGCTGTTGGCTCGATTTTAAGGATGCCGTACCAGTCCTTCTCATTTCCATAGACCTTGTTCTCTGCAGAGCAGTGTACATCACAAGCCAAAATCATCTGGGAAACATTATCCAGACCAGGATTGAGTTGTTGGGCCTTAAGTGCAAACTTCCGAGCCCCCACAAAATCCTTGTTTTGCATCTTCTTTTCTGCAATCCCTTTAGCCCTGACCGCCTCTTCTTTGTTGCACTCCATCACTAATCCAAAATCCAGATAACCTGAGTCAACTTGCCTCTGTGAAATGGATAAGACAAAGAATGCTATCTCTGTACCCCATGCTCAATACAATATACCAAGAGAAACAAATGAAAAGGCTTTGCTCGTAATCGCCTTCCTGATTTCCCCTCTCATCATTCAAGATTTTCCACTCCACATATCCCGTGGTCCTGCAATTTTGTGCCGACTTAGACTCATTACAGCCCACGGATAGGGAAGAAGGAAAGAAAACAGGGGTGGGGGAGAAGGAAAGGCAATTGAACCCCTAAAGAAGAAACTTACAAGCATACACGAGAGAATTCCTCAACTCTGCAAAAAAATAAAACGAATAGTTGCAAGATTTTGAAATCATCAACCAAACAACTATGTGTGCGTGCGTGTGTGTGCGTGTGTGTGCGCATATATGCAATATGTATAATTATGTGTGCTCATGAATGCAAAAAGGTTTCACAATCGCCAACACAGGAATTTGAACCAGAAATTTTAAAAATAAGAAAATAAATAATGACCAGCATTACCCAGATATTTTTGCAAGGAAATCTAATATAATGTTCACGTTGTAACTTGTAATTTCTACATATATACTTCACATAGATTATCATATACATAAATTGAGTTTTGTACAATTTTTTTTTTATAAAAAAAAAAAAAAAAAAACCAGAAAATTACAAAAACTCTAACAAAACGTTAGAAAGTTACAAAAAATAAAAATAAAAATTCCATATATCTAAGATTCCGAAGTTACAAATTCCATATCACCTTAATTATGCCATAGTGTGTGAGATCAAAAAAATTTCATGACCGCAGTTTTTAGTACCATTTGGTGACACCCACTCCCTAGTTTGATATACCACGCCTCTTACCTATAGTGTCCGAGGCTTCTAAATGAAACCTACTCTCCAAAGCCAAACACATTATGTGATGCCTCAACTTTTTGATTTAATTATCCCAGGCGAGTTAATCATAAAGGACTTTCAGAAATTCAAACATCAGTACATAAAAAATCAAAATGTTTAAAGCCAAACCATTGCAACTGCACCATAATCCACCATTTTTGCAAGAATTGTGACTTTCTCATCATGGCAATTGTAATAACCCAAACTAACCACATGATTAATTGAACCAACAATTTACGGAAGTGTATCTCAAGAAGAGAAAATAAGCTAGCAGAGAAACAACAGAAAGGAGAATTCACTCAAAGCACTCCGAAAGCTCCTTCTCTTACAAAAGGGTAGGATGGCATCCTTCTCTCTTCCATTTCCATCATATAATTTCACCAACTACTTGACAACACCATTCTTTCTAACATATACCCACAATCAATAAGGCAACCCACCAAGGAAACAAATCCTCCAGATTACAACCGCACAATATCAAACTCTCAACCCACTAAATCGCTTAACACCAAAAAAACACAAAGTAAAAAATATAATTTTAAAAAAAAAAAAAAATTTGGTCACAAAAGTTACATGCATCACAGGTTTAAATTCTATATGGATCAACTGTAAAAATCAACCTTTGCCGCATGCCATTAAGGATTTTGGCTTAAAAAGCAAATTTTGGGAAATCAAAGTTCAAAAGTTGTGTAACCCACATCCTTGTTGCTTCAGAATTTAAAACTTCATTCAATTCCGTCGATTTTTTCAAGTTAAAAAAAAGTCCTCTAGCAAGCTTGGATTCACGAACCATCCTTTTTTCTTTTTTTCCTAATGAACCAAGCTTCATAAATTGAATGTAAACATGTTTCCGTATCAAAAACCCAGAACAGTGCGGTTTAAAAAATCAACTAAAACGATACCGGCAAGATAAACAATTTTCACCAAAAAAGACAGTATACACTAAGTTTAACTGAATGAATTTTTTTTCCAAAATATTAGATTACTTGAACAATAAAAAATAAAAAAACTGTTAAAAGGGTTGCTACAAAAGAAGCCAAACAATAATGGAGCGAAAGGGAAATTACGTCTAATAACTTGGAAAAAAAAAGCTAATGTAAACAAAAAGATCTTACTCATTTGTGAAACCACAGGTTAACTTTTTTGACAACCTGAGAGAGAGTAAAGGAAGCAAAGTCTCATGGCAAAGTACACCAGTGGGAAGGAAAATCGAATATCGGAGCGAGAGGGAGAGGGAGAAGTGTCCTTGAAATCTTGAATTTGGGGCAGGTGGTCCTATTTGCTTTTTAAAGACGTTTTTTTATTTTTATTATTATTTTTTAATCACAGTGCTGATACGGAATTTTAGAAGGTAAATTTTCGCAACCACTAATTTTTACTAATCTAACATTATTATTATTATTTTTTTCGCAATTACCTTCCCTTTGATAAGGGATTTATTATACTTACCTTTCCTATCTTTTAAATTATTATAATTATCTCCTTTGTAGGGCTACGACTCGAGAGCTTAGATCCAAACCAACATATGAAATGATCAAATCCTAATCTGACCTCCAACCCTAACTACTTATTTCGAGTCCAACTCATCCTCAAATTTTTAAACTCGGATTTGAGTTAATTTTATATTAAAATACCTGGCACAACAAAAAAAATTAAAACTTGACACAAATTTCTAAAAATTTACAATAAAATCTTAAAAAATTAATTGTCCAAAACTTATCTTGCAATAATGTAATATTCATCAAACAAAGGAAGTTGAAAAAAAAAAAAAAAAATTTGTTATCATAGTTTTAATCATATATATATATATATTATATTTATATTTATATAATAGTTTTAGAATTGGGTTTTAGGTTAGGCTCCGGTTAGTGACCGCTCAACCTAAGTTCAACTCTAGTTAATTTCGAGCTGATATTTTTTAATTCAAATCCAGTATTAATTATAAAAATAATTGTTCAAGCCCGTGAAAAACCGAACTAATCTCGTATTAGATTCGAGTTTGCCGGCTCAAGTTGCACCTTGAGTTTGACTCATTGCAAATACTTTTTCGTACAAGCAATTAACTTTCGGGGTTGTCAAGGACCAACTCAATACCTCCCCTAACACCAATTATTCCTTTTTAAATCTCTAGTTTTATTCTCTGCACAAAAAGCAGGTTTCTAAAGAAAAAATGCATTGTCAAAAAAGGCAACCAAACATGTCACGAGTTTTGTATCAAGAAAATGATATAATTAGGGGGTTCTCCCAATATAGAATCAAGTACTTTTCCTGGCTATAATTCTTTGCGATTCAAGAGCAAAACAATAGACCCAATTTTTGTTGTATTTCCATATAATTAATTCTCTACCCTCTTCCGGAGTTGTGTAGATCCCATTATTCCAACCTCTGTGACAACCACAACCCAGAATATCAAATGCCTATGAATTTCCTCAGAACTGAGCCTCATCTTCGGTTAAATTAGCAATGAGCACCAGCCATGAAAGAACTAAAAAGGTAAGTTATTTTAAAAAATTCTAGTATAGACTTCTTTTTTTTTTTTTAGATGTTACATTTTGTTAGTAGGTGCCTCCAAGTTCTACGGAAGGCTCTTATCCAACTGAATTGCGAGGCATCTGCTTGAACGCACGAACTTTCGTATAAGAACACAAAAATCTACCATCGCACAAAGAAAACACACCAAGAAATGGCCCATAGAGCTCATTAACCACTGATTAAAACTAAGCAAATTTCATATATACTACCAACTGATAAGAACCAGAGCTAATGAGGCTTCTGAATTACTGTACTTGGAGTTTACAAATGAGTTGCAAATGAAAGTCTCTACATACTGTTCACAGCAGGAAAGGAAAAGAAGAGAACGAAGACCATTTCCCGAATTTCGGACAGCAACGTTAAGCATAAATGTGATTGCAGCCTAAAAAGAGTCTTATAGAAGAACAAAAAACTAACCACAAAGTTAAAGGAACTCGAGATAAAATTAGGCTTTAATTCAGACTAATGGCTCATATAGTCGCATTCCCGATACCATCTTTTACTTATAAGCCGGGTTGACCAAGCTGTGCATATTACACTCAAAAAGTATGGACACGGGAGAAAGGAATGTTACATGAAACCAGTACGACACCTTCTGTGTCTTATGCAAGCTAGAAAGAGACCAAATCCCGACATCCAACCCATAGGAAGCACACTCAGATCAGGATTTACTCTCTATCTGTTTATCTTTTTTGAACCCAAACTATGAACAGCGTCCCTCGGCCAGAAAGGCATAGCATAAATATGGGGTGTATACAAGCCCACAAGAAGGGATAAGAGTGATCGTCCTGCCCCCGTTAACTTGAACAGAAAAAAAGAACTGGCAATGCTGCAGGATCAAGCTCCCAAAAGCCTCTAAGACTACCACCTCTCTCGTCCGTCAAACGATAAGCAGGAATTTGATGGGAGATTCTAAGCTGCTCAACTCGAGGGATCTTCGTCGTGACGGTCAATCCTTCCTTAATTTGAGCCTTGAAAACTGACTTATGACCATTCACCAACTCTAAAAGCAAAACTTCTATCCATGAGTCATTTTCCTCAAGGATTTCCACCATGTCATAATCACAGTTGTCCAAATCAGAACATTTAATTCCAGCATTCCAGTTCTTATATAATGCCCAAACCTCACCTTTCCTAGGAAATATGACATAGATATCCTTCTCATCCGTAATTTCTACTTTTAACTGATGAGAAAAGGGATGGGTAGCAGTATATTTCTGGGATGTACCCTTTTTAACCTTAAATCTCCCACACGTAATCGGCATCTTTTTGTCACGCCAATGCATCATACCCTTTGGCAGTGAGCAGGCATTAAGCCACGCTACATGCAATTTAAACTCCGGCTGAAAGTCAATTCTTTTAACCTGACAATAGTACTTTGGCAAACCATCTTCATCACTGTACAACGCCCAAAGCTGACCAATCTGAAACTTCTCCGGGGATTTTTCAGCATCAAAGTTGTAAAATTCTGGTTCAGGAATTTCATAAGCTTCAGAATTTGAAGGTGAGGCAGCAGCAGTGTCTCCATTAAAATTGTTAGAAACATTCTGATTGGGATCTACCTGACACCCAGAGGCATTTCCATCACATTCCATCATCGGTTCCATCTTTTCTGCTGGAGATTTAGAACAATAACCATTAGGATTCATGCTTCCAGCACCAACATTCAAATCAGGTACTGAAATTTCTTCGAGGTTGGTAGGAAGAGAAGCGGGATCAAGTTCAAAACATCCCTTAGGAACATTTTTTCCTTCATCCCCACTCATTTGAAAGGAAGGAACCCTGTGGGAGAATCTGAATAATTCACTTGGGGGTAATTCAAATGAGTCCATTCCTTTCTTCACAGTTCGGCAAAAGAGACACGCAAAGCCTTTCACCTTACCCAAGTACGCAACAGAAACACCAACATCCTCAGCATACTCTGACAAAACTTCAACGAACTCAAATTCATACTTCCTCCTACTGTCTGGATCAGAGTACCAATTTATATCCCATTTCTTGAAGAGGGCCCAAGTTTCTCCCTTTCTTGGATATATCTTGTAAGTGTCCCTCTTGTTACCTTTCTCCCAGTAAATCAAATGTGAGAACATACCATGATCTTCACTGGTTTCAGATTTTCCATGGTTGAACTTGCCACAAGAAACTGGCAAACCTTCATCTACCCATTTGATCTCATCCTCATCATCCGGAGCAGGCTCTAGCCAAGTTATCCGCAGCTTGAACCCAGTAGAAAAAACCTTTCTAATTCGAGCATAGAATCTAGGCATGGCATCTAGAGTATCATAAATAGCCCAGGTTTGCCCAACTGCAAAGCACTCTCCTCTTCTATCCTTATCAAAGTCACTGAAATCAGGATCAGGATATTCATAAATTTCTGGATCTGTCGCTTCATTTGATGAAGACTCACCAGTAGCTTTAGAACTTTTCTTATGGTTGTCATCTTCTGTTGTTGCGTTTTCATTCATCTTCTTAGTTTCTTCTTTTCCATTTTGCAAGTTCCCGCTGTTAGAGGCACTTCCATTGTGTTTCACCTTAGTCTCAGCTGCTTCCATGTCAGTAGCACATCCAGCTGGTTTGTCTGTTTGGGGCTCATCTTGCTGTTTTGGAGCTTCAGCCTCCTGACCAGTATCAGGGAAGGATCCACTGTACTTTGCCCTTTTTGAAGAAATAACAAAGTTATCATCGTCACTTAAAGTTTCATTATAAGAAATATCCCTTTTAGACCGATTAGATCTTCGACGGTGCTGCTCTCCTGAATATCCTTCCTTCTGTCCAGCCAGAGGATCACCATCCTCATCAATAACAGTATCGTCTTCAGAGTCAGAGCTGCTTTCAGTGTTGCAACTTTCACTGGATTCTGATACCCGCTTCATTCTCTTACCATTCATCTTTCGCGAGGAATTAATATCCTCAGACCGATCCCTTGTTGGGTTCGGATCACCAACATTTCTCTGTGGGCCAACCTTAGAAGCACCTTGACTGGGAACATTTTTTGGGAATAAATGCTGACTCATGTTGGTCCCTTGTGAGCTACTGTGAGGGTTTATCTCATACCCAGTGAATGACCTTTTGCAAGTTTGGCAAGAAAGAAGTTTGTTGAGCACTTCAATATAAAACTGGTACCTTATGCCACAGAAAGGACAGAGCGTCCAGAAAGTTCGTCGGTTGTTAGACCCTGATTGGGCTTGCTGTTGTGGCTGCTGGTGCTGCATATTCAAGTGTGTGAAGTGTGAAGAACTTTTCTTTAGATTGTTTTGAACCCAAGGCTGTTTCCCAACATTTGAGTTCCAATTCGCCTGCTGTGGGCCCCGAGTTGGTGGTGTGGGTCTTGCGAAAGCTCTACATTTAGTGTCATGCAACATCCGTTTTTCACGGTCCAAGAGCACTCTTTGAGCTTCCCCAATCAGCTTAAAGGCATCTGCCGCGCCAGCAAACTTGTTCTTATCAGGATGAAGCATGAGAGCAAACTTCCGATATTGCTTCTTTATAACTACCTCATCTGCTGTTGGTTCGATTTTGAGGATACCATACCAATTCTTCTCGTTTCCATAAACCTTGTTCTCAGCAGAGCAGTGTACATCACAAACCATAATCATCTGGGAAATATTATCCAGATCAGAATAGAGTTGTTGGGCCTTAAGTGCAATCTTCCGAGCCCCCACAAAATCCTTGTTTTGCATCTTCTTCTCCGCGATCTCTTTAGCCCTGATCGCCTCTTCTTTGTTGCACTCCATCACTAATCCAGAGAAGCGACTCAAATTTCCTCAGTGCTATGGATAAAGACAAATGAAACTATATCTGTACCTCATAATTGATACATTGTATCAATACATGCAAATGAAAATGGTTATCATGTATTGGCCTTCCTGATCGCCCCACTCATCATGCAAGATTTCAACTCCAAGTAGCACACGGCCCTGCAAAGTTATATCAACTTACACTCTTTATGGAAAACAAATGGAAAAAAGGAAAGAAAACAGCGGTGGGGGAGAAGACAATGCAGTGGAACCTCTAAAAGAAACTTAGAAATGTATGAGACAGAATGCCCAGCTTCTCCACAAACAATTTTGAACGTGTACGTATATCCAAATATGTATGAACAATTTTGAACGTGTACATATCCAAATATGTATGAACGTGTATATAAACAAATTTGTGCATGTACATATATTCAAATATGTAGTACATGTGAGCTCATGGATGTGCAAAATAATCTCATGACATTTACAGAAACACATAATGCGAACCAGAAATTAAATAGATAACACAATTAACAAAGAACTTCAGAAAGTAATAAATAATAACCTGCATTACCTGGGAATTGGTGCTATTAAAAATGAAATAAAATACAGAGAAGAGAGCATAGGGAATGAAGTAAAAACAAAATGATTAATAATAATAAAATATAGATGAATCCATAAAAATAATAAGCATAATGAAACAACCCACATGGCAATCCCATAAGTTATACTATATTGTTTACCAAAAAGTTATAACCCTTTAAAAAGTGAAAAACAACCTGTTAAATTACCCCAACCATTGTTTACTCATAAAATAAAAACCTCAAAGCAGTGGAATACAACCTATTAAATTACCCAACCAAAGTAGACCAACATCAGAAACAAATTTCAAGGAAGCTTGTCATAGAATGCACATAGCGAAACAAGGGAAAGAAGAAGATGAGGGAAGAAATGGAAAAGCCTTCCAAGTCTCCTGATCACACACACATGTATGTGCCTGCGCATACACAAAACACACAAAGCGTCCGTTACAATATTCATTAATAACAATCCATATTAAAAGTGCAACCTCGCTTTTTCCTCAAAAGTCCAATCTATAGGCCTTATAAAACCACAACTGCACATAGGATTGATGATAAACAAATATACTTGGACGACTACACTATATCCAAATCCATTATCACTTCTCATATGGGTGAAGTGCAAAACCCTTGTAGTTTCAAAAATGTGCAAATAACACCCCTCGCATTCAAAAACCACCCTTGTAGTATGAAAAGTGAACAAATAAGGGCTTCTTGTCAGAGGGATAAGTAAAAATACGAAAAATGCACCCCCCCCCCCCCCCCCCCCCCCCCCCCCCCCATATTCTTTATACAAAAATAATAAAATATAGCTAGAAGTTGAAATTACTTAAATAGACATTTCTCTAAACTACGTCGTTTTGGGTCATGAAGCAACAAATAAGAGAAATTATTAGGTAGGCCCAGGACCACCACCTCATACATGGTCCCGGCCAGTTATATAAAACCCCGTCAGCATTGACCACACAAGTCAGTACCTTCTCTTTCCTCTCTCTGCAGACACTCCTTTTCCTTCATCTTCATCCCCTCGCATATATACTAAAATCTGTAAGTATAGAGAGAGATTAGAAGACCTATGATTTCTTCCATTGATGGGGATACTGTTCTTTTCTCTCAATTCTACATCGATATAGACACCCTTGTAGTGACCACTACATGACTAGTTCCCCCAACGAAGAAGAAGAGGACAAGGAGTACAGATCCTATATTGGGACCCAGTGAATTTTCAGATCCTCCGTGCACAACGAATTCAAGTTGGTGCCGCCACCAGTGTTGAAGTATTCAACGATGAACGAATCGAATCAATTCGACGTTGCCGGATCGTCAGTGAGGATGCAACACTGGCAATGGCAAGTTCTCCGACATGAAGATAGTGGCTTTTTTGGGTCTTCGGAGCAAATCGGATAACACCGGATGGTTGGTGAGCCGCAACGCTGGCAATAGCAAGATCTCCAGCATTAAGATTGTGGGTTTTTTGGGTCGTTGGTGAGCTGCGACGGCGAAGGAAGTCATGTCATGGGTTTGTCTGCAGAGAAGTAGTAATTCGTTAGTCACCACCATCGAGCCTGCCTTCGATGGAATCGTCGTTCACTGCCGGCGATGAAGAAGGATTGCTTTGGGCGGCGCACGTAGGTCAGATCAACGTCTACGAGTGGAATCTGACTCACGCCGGTTCAATCCGCAAACACGTCCCTATTTAGGAAAATGTATTGCAAGAAGCGAACATAAGCTAGTAGTACCAAAAAGCTAAGGAGAAACCATTCAAACCTCCCAAATCCCCCTCTAACAAATGGGCCACATCCTTCTCTCCCTCCATTTCCATCCCAACCTACAATACCTGCAACTGCATACCCAGCTCACGATCCTTATTTTTCACACCACCATTCTTCACTAACATAAATCTACAATTGGTACGCCAACACAGCAAAGAAATAAATCCTATAAATTACAACTACACGATAACAAACTCTCAAGCCACAAAATCAGTTCACACGGGAAATACAGAAAAAATAATAATAATAAAAATAAAAAAATAATAAAAAATAAAATAAATAAAATAAAATGACAAAAGCTACATGCATTGCAAGTTTAAATCTACACGGAACAACTAAAAACCAGCTCTCACCCTATCCCATTGGAGATGTGTCACGTCATTTACTCTTTGGGTTAAACAACCAACCTGACCAGACATCAAAAAATAAGACATAAATTTTGATTTTCAAAAAGTAACGAACCAAAAGGACTTTTGGGAAATCAAAGTTGAAAATTTTTGTAAACCCACATCCTTGTAAGTTTCTTTCGACCTAAAGAGTTTCTGTTGATATTTTCGATATAAAATAGAACCCTCTAGCGGTGTGCCCACTGTCCAGGCAGCACGGCACAGACCCAGGAACCAAATGCAAAACTGGATTCAGGAACCATCCTTAATGAATTTAAACTTCCCGCATAAGAAGGGGACAAAAAATAAAAATCACTACTCACACATCAACCAAATAATCAATTTTCAGTAAAAAAGAAAATAATAAATCATCCATATAAAAATCAAACTACCCCAGCACATCTTTGTAACAGGTAACCCAAGACCAATATATAACAAACCATAACGGTACCCAATTAGGGCAGAAACAAGCTCAAGTTCGCGCATTTTTTTTTAATTACTTCAATTACCAAACTCTATAGCTCAATATAAGTGACAAAAACATGTTTGTGCACTGAAAACCCAGAACAATTCCAGTGAAGATATCAACTAAAAAAATACCCGCAGATAAACACTTACACGCCGAAAATAGACGAGATGTTTATAAACAGTTGCTTAATCGAATGGAAAACTTCTCCGAAATAGAAGATTACTCGAACAATCTTTAAACCCTAAAAAATGATTGATTCCAAATAAGCCGAACAATAATAGAGAGAAAGAGCAATTACGCTTAAAAACGTGAAAAATAAGAATACAAAATTAAATAAATAGATCAACAAAAGAGCTTACTTGTTGGTTCAAACTAGCTTTGACTTTTTTGTCAACCAGAGAGACGGAGGACAGGAAGCAAAGTCTCCAACCAGGCAAAAGGCCCGGGGGGAAGGAAAGGAGAAGAGAAAACAGGGCGGAGGAAAGGAGAAGAGTCCTTGAATTTGGGTTAATTACCCAAGGTGGTCCTGTTTTCTATTTGGATGTGAACCCTTTCGTAATTAAATTAAAGTTGAGGGGTTCTTTTTGGTACTCTATTTTCCATTTTTACCCTTGCAAAGAAAAACAACTATAGGGCATTTTTTTATTTTTTTTGCTCTTATCTGAATTCATTTTATTAATAATTTGAATGTGGATTGAATATTTAATATAAGGGTGGCAAAATTTAACATAATTCGTCAACTCAACTTGAACGGAACATGAAATTAACAATTTTAAGTTAATTTTATTTGTATTAGTGTCTAACTTGTTTAATTAATCATGCTATGTTTAACTCATTTAACCAACTGACTAGTTTAATTAATTGTATCACGTCAACTAGATTATGGTAACTATTTTAACCAATTAGTATGAACATTTCAATGATTTCAATATAAATCCAATATAATTTTATTTTTTTATAATTGTATTGTCCTAATTATTTTTATTTTCATAAATTTAGTCATCTATGTGAGATATATATTTTATAATTGGCAAATTTTGATATCAAAACAAGTCCTGATCAAATTATAATTTCAAGTTACCATATCAAGATCAAGGTCGACTGCAGAATTAGAAGGTTGTTTGACGATGAAACATGAAAGAACAACACTTCATCGAAACATGAAAGAACAACACTTCTAGGAAGTTGTTTCTCACTTAGGACACAATACATATATGGTATGTTTTTTCCAATTTACCAAAAACAGAGTTTTCCAAGTTGTATTTGAAATTTGTCAAGTGGGAACCGGTACCAAACCATTCTGCCATTTAAGACCCGGTTCCACATATTGGCTATTGGTACCACTGCTGTTTCAGTTTAAGGTAACTTCACCCTGTCCTGTTTCAAACTTCCCAGTTGGTTTACAATATTACCAAAAGTCCTATGCACGAAATTTTATTTATTTTCTAAAGGATTGGGTCTTTGAAAATTCTATATAAACCCCAATATACATCTAGGTTTAGTACGGCTCTTGCATTACAACTTCATTATTCATAAAAGTTTTGAGAATATTATTTTTACAGAAAATCCAAGTTGATTTCTCTGTCAGTCTTTCTAAAACATACACGTAAACACAGAGTGAGTTTAGAGTGTTGTTTAAATCATGATCATGATCAAAGTCTTGCATCAACAGCGATTAGAGAAAAGCAAATTTACTTCTACATCGAATTCGGATATTGAAAAACAGAAGTAAATCACCCTTTGAAAGGGTCAAATCATTCGAGGAGTGTTGTTTGATCTACCTGCAACCCTTCTACAGAGATCAAGAATAAGCCTAAGGTCAAGCGCTGTTAGACGGGACGTCACAAAGCCAAATGATAGTCAGCGATTGGTGTTTGATAGAACGATAAGGTGTTAGCCAGAGTCAAAGTTCAATGTACTTTGTTTCAAATATAGTGATCGATTTTTCCCACGCAAATAATTGGTCCATTTTACCGATTGGGGTTTCCTCGCAAAAAATCCTGTCATCTCTAACTCCTTACTTTGTTTTATTTTATCTGTGATTAATTATTTAATTACTAAAATAAGTAAAGTTATAAAGACACATATCTGTTTCTAAAACTATAAAATTTTCTAAATATTCCGTTGCATACAACTCACAATCTATTATCTTAATTTTTTAATTAAATATGCATTTAAGTTAAACGAGTTAAACAGGCCGCTGAGGACTTGTTTGGCAACCATTTTTGTTTCGTGTTTTGTGTTGTGGTGGTATGCGGTAGTGAAACAAAATATTGCAACACATTTTGGTAACTTTTGTTGCCATTTGAATACTACCTGGTTTGTAGCCAAAAAAAAAAGAAAAAAAAGAAAGGGAAGAAGAAGAAGAAGAGGAGTGTGTAACTAATATGTTTTCATCATATTTTTGCTCCAAATGTAACTAGCATATTTTCATCTTTTTGCTTCAAAATATCTTACAATAAATTTTACGTTATCAAACGTGTTTCTGATTACTATTAAACACACTCCACAAACAAAGTTGTTGTTTCTATTTTGAAGGAAAACAAAAAGGCAAAATGGAAACAATTGCCAAACGAGTCGTGCCATTAAATGACTTGTTTATCAAACGAATTACACATGTCATGTTGTGTTTCCCATTTGTTGTGAAATCCGTTCAATAAATGGGTCGTGTTCGTGTTGAAGGTCCCTGTCGTGTTTGAGTTGGCCTATTTAATAGAATACTCATTGGTCGGCACAATACGATTATGTGTCTCCAACACGAATGATCATCCCTCATAATTTGATAATCTGTTAAAAATTTAAATCCAATAATTCGCTAAATTAACAAAAACAAATATGAGTTATGGTCAATCCAATCCGTTATGTACATATATTATCTTTGGTTCAATTGGTTTTGATTTAAAAATAAAGATAAATGTTGTTTACATGGTGTTTGTCATGTACAATATTGGAACTTTTAATTATATTAGTTTTTCATTAATTATTTTCTTCCTCCTGTTGTTTAAAAAAAAAAACAAAAATTATTGGGTTTTTTTTTTTCATTAATTAAGAACCAAATATCTAATTTATTCTTCCCCCTTATTTTTTTTGGCCTCCTTCTCTATTTTTCTCCTTTCTTTAAATTAATTTTAACAATAAATAAATAAACCTCTTAATGGATCAGATTGGATATTGGCCAATCTAAAAATCGGATATGAGTTCAATAACAAATAAACTATTGAGTCATTGGATCGGATCAAATATATTTTTTATTGGATTTGAATCAGATCATACCATATTCAATCCGAGCATGATCCATTGGCAAGTATGTCCATTCATTAAAAATGCACCATCTAATTAAATTTGTCTTAATTATAAAGTAATAAAAAAAATAACTTTAATACACTCATTGTGCCAATGACAAATTTAGATATATTTTATTTAAAAAACAATATATAATTAGTGGGTGATAGTGACAAAGTACCAGGCAATCATTTGATAAGTGGGTATACACCCCACTATATTGAATTTGATAATTAAAGATGGCATGTCTATTTATTATTGATTCACATTAACGGTGAGAATGGTATACATCCTCGTTAGTAAGGACCTAAATATTGTTCTTCATTTTTTATACCAAATCAGAAAAAGTAAGCACAATTATATAAAAAAATTCATTGTTTATGGAAATTCAAAAGACCAAAATGTTCCATTATCCCTTTAAGGTATATACATAAGTCGTGTATTTATGAACTAAAAGTGAAATGACTTGAGAGTGAGATGTAAGTTTCAAGTTTGAGAGACTCAACAAATTGTTATTTTTAGGTTGTTCAATTTCTATTTTATTTTTTATTTTTTTACATAATTTTGGGTTGTTCAATTTTTTTATTTTATTTTTATTTTTTTTGTGTTTTTTTAGAAAGCTCAAGAAAATGTGCCTCTAAATATATTTGTTATTTTACCAATATTTATTTATTTAACTATATTATTTTATATATTTGAATTAGAATGTCTTTTCAATTTTACGCAACAAGCGTGGATCTTCCTCTCTATTCATCCTCATAATTTAAGCAAAATGGTGAGTCAAACTTATTCATCCGCTCGTCATAAACACCATTCCAATCATTCTTTTATTTGATATGCATGAGTAAGAATGTTCATTCTATTGGAATGAAAATTCATTCCACAACTAAAATTGCGGAATGACTGTTTCATTCTCAAGTAATATTTTATTTTTTTAATAAAAAAAATTAACTTCCTAAAAAAACTCTCATGTTTTAAATCCAAAACCCACCACCACCACCACCACCACCATTACCACGGCCTTTCATCACTTTCCACCGTAACCACCTCTGCCTTCCAACACTATCACTGCCACCTCTATTGCCTTCCAACACCATCACTGCCATGCCACCGCCAGGATTGTTGTCGCCTTTAACTGCCACCACCGCCACATCCACCGACTTTCAGAACCGCCACCACCATCACCATATTCCACCACCACCACTGCCTTCCATCATTATCACCTATGCCACTACTTCCACCGTCACCACCGCCATTACATCACATTCCACCAATGCCTCTACCACCTTACGCCACCACCACCGTCGCCTCCTTCCACCATAGCCACCACCGCCACCTTCCAACACCACCACCTACAACAATACCGCCTTCCACCTCCATCACAATCATCACTATCGCTACCATTTGTTTTAAAAAAATTATAGAAAAATATTATTTTGTTAATTTAATTCATTTGTTAGTAATGTTTTGGATAATTTAATTTGAAATTAATTTCATTCTAAATTTTAATTTGTTCAACCAAACACTAAAATGATTATTATCATCTCATTACTACATATTTTATATTTGTGACCAAATAATAGAATAAGGTCTTGATGACCTAACGGTTTCATTCTCATTCTCATCCCATTCCAATCCTATGTATAACATTATTTCTTTCCCTCTTAGTAAACAACGAATGCTTACTCTCTACCTTATCCTATCGCTCTCCTTGTCAAACATATCTTTAGAGTTAGAGAATTCTTAAACTAGTTTGATTTGTGTAACTTGTTAGAATCCTAGAGCGAAGAGAACTTCAAAGTTAATTTGATTTGTGCAATGTTGTCAAAATCCTAGAATGAAAAGAGTGTCTAGATTAGTTTGATTGGTAAATCTTTAGCATCAGAGTCCCACAATATTGGAATGCTGAGAAATGCTAATTTAGTTTGATTTGTGAATCTTTAGAGTATATCAATTTAATTGGTACATTCTAGAGTTTTAGAGCAGAAAAAACAATCTGGGTTTTAAGCACTAAGCATGTAAATTAAATATATAAACTTTTAAAAATTTATATGAAAAATAAAAACTATTTTGATAGTAAAATATACATGCAGGACTATTCTAGACTTTAGGCGTAGTCGTACCCTTCAGACACGCAACCAACTTGTTCAACTTCTTGTCCCCCATTTTATTACAAAAGTCCCAAGTATTGTACATAATTTGACCTAGGTTTTGGAATTTCAAACCCAAAACCACTAAGAGAGAGGCAGGCTGTGATTTTACATAAACGGAACAAGACCTACAATATGCAAGCCTTTTGTACTTGAAACTTGTAATTTGTTCTCTTTTGGTCTATGAATATGGTTTATATTAGCTTTGACAGCAACTCAATAAATTCTTCTCTCATCTAATACTATGTCAATTACGAGAAAGTCTCAATTTATAGCTTATCAAGCCAACTTGAGAGTTCATATTGATTGAGGTATCGCGTGTAAATTACATGGATCATCCTTCACATTCCTCTTTATCATACCACAGGCTTGTAGCCTAAAATGAATAATGAGGCTTCAGTCACCAAAGGAACAAGTGGGTGTTTGAAAGGTGTGCATGTCCTTCTTGCCCTTGAAAAAAAATAAAGTAAAATACATATATATATATATACACACATATATATATATGTATATCATTCCTATATATCATATTGTCCTTTACTATCTCAACATGTTAGTTCTGATTTTCCTTTCTCCTATCATTACACACTCAACAACGTTCATATTTGGAAGAACAACCCGAGCGTTGAAACTGACCCAACAGACTAACATTACATGCAAAAACAAGAGGATCAATAGAGTTGTGAAAGACACGGACACTACATTAAAAGCTGTTTCTGTAAAAAAAAAAAAAAAAAAACGATTAATTCAATTAACTTCAAACCACACTTCCCAGCACCTGAAAATAAAGAACCTGTTCTTCCATGTCATCTGTAAACAAAAGCACACCGACGGGACTAGCATCTGCAGACTTCAATGGCCATGTAACATTCTGCGCTGAAACGCTGAACTTATTACAGGTGCAGTATATATGAGAATAATAACAACATAGCCAAAAAAACATTTCTTAAGCAACATGAATTGCCAAAAGAGAATTTTAATTCTATCATTAGAAAATGAGTCGCACGACAGAACAAACCAAGTGCTAGTACATGAAATAAAAAAATCAGTTCCCATTATGCTTAGGTGTGAAATAGAATCAGCTGTACCTATGAGATAGACCACAGAAACTTGATTTATGAATAACTCTCCATAATTTTCTTAAATAGTTCCTTCGGTGCTGCAATTGGAAAATGAAATTCAAAAAGAAAATAGAAATAGTCAGAGCCAGTTATGTAACAACTAACAACCAGGACTATATGGCTATCTGGATTTCAGAAATATATAGATTATAAAATTAATCTTACCAGGAAACCCAGTGAACCTCTCAAATTGTTCATATGCCTGCCCAATAAACATCTCAACTCCTGTAACGATTGTGGCTCCAGCTTCTTTTGCTTCCCGCAAGAGTCTGGTAATTTTGGGGGTGTAAACAGCATCGAAAACCAACGTGTATGACTTCAGAGCTTGCTGCAAAAACACAGAGCCGCTTACTTCTTTTGCATATGTGAATGTAAATTAGTAGCATCACTATTATAAAAGCTTGGTGAATATCTGTAAAAAATAAATCTTTTAACAGCTTGGAATGTGAATTTCTCAGATACTGACCCCACCAAAATAAGGAAGAAAAACAAACTATTCAATAGGCGAAAGCTTTTGGAATGCACAAGGTATGGACATCAATCAGTCAAGTTGTAGATTTTCCTCTCTCACTCTTCTGTTTCTTATTATTTTTTATTTTTTATTTTTGTAACATGATAAATAAAAAATTTAAAATTTTAAAAAAGTTGAAAGGCTAGAGAATTTCATTTTGCACTATGACCTAGGAATTTATTTATTTATTCATTTACTTATTTGTTTATTTATTTTAGGCCCCTTGGGTAATTTGCTGGTAGCCGGGACAAATTTTGTAATTCTAAATGCAATAGGGAGCAAATACAAATTGCTAAGATATCAACTTGATTTGGTTTCAAAGAGTATGTCACACAAAAATCTTTGACATTCAATTGAATGTGATATTTGATGCAGAAAAATAAGTATTTTAGTTTGCATTAATTCTGAAATTTTTGTTTGGGGTGAAGAGGGGGAATCAATCTTAAGATTCCCTGCATATAAAAGAACAATTTCAACATAAAGTCCGGCAAACCACATACTTAACTACAAAAACATTACTCAAGATGCTCTTGGTTCATCCGAAAAATGCTTTATATATCTATATCTAGCACATCCGTGTTTCCAGAACTTGCTATGGCTCCATTTGAATGACAAGGATTGGGGATCGTGAACTAAATTTTGTTATTAGGAACGGCAAAATCCAGCAATAAGATCCTAAGTATCATTCCATTTGAGCATTTGAAAATTGCCTTAGAAATTACGATCCACAAAAGAATATGTTCATTTGGGTGGTTAGGCTGCTCAATCCAACCACCTAAAGTTTAATTCAAGTAACAATGAAATTCACCATATATGTTACCTTTATAAATTTCATTAGTATGGACATATAATTTTGTAATTTCATCAAATATCAAGATAATTGAATTAAATTTGATTTAAATCATAAAAATATAACACCTTTTCAGGATCAAGATCAAATTTTGAATGATTGAATTTTAAAAGTTAAACTTGAACTTGTATATGATTTCAGTGAGTCTAACTTGTTTATTAGACATAATATTTATTTAAATATTTTATCTTTTAATGACTATGATATTCCTGTATAACAGAAATTTCATCTCAAAATGTGATAAAAGATTAAAATTTTAAATTTATATCAATACACATCTCATTTCCTGTAATTAGAGTTGTTGAGATGAGGTTAAAATCAAACTTGAACTAGTGAAACATAAGCAGCACAGAATGCACTATATTCATTAATGAAGAAACTCATTGATTTGATAATAAATCTAGAACAAAAGCAAACAAAAAGTTACTAAGATAAGAGTAGCTTCAAAACCTACATCAGAGTGGCAGATGACCTGAAATAAGAAAGCAGCAAAGTAGGTGGCCAAACCTTAGAAATGGGGGTGTCACTAACTTTTGGTGTCATTCCGATAGAGGTTGTGTTTGCAAGAATCATACCATCCTCTGGATGGAAACTATCCAAATCAGCAAGAGATAATGCATCTCCCCCAACAATATCTGCAAGTTCTCTAGCTCGATCTTGCAGGAAAAAAAAAAAAAAGAAAGAAGAAAAAGAAAAAGGAAGATAAATATCATATTAAGCTGTAAAAAAGAGACATTAAAATAGTTGATACTTGATATCAACTTATGTAACCCGGAAACAGGTGCAATTCATCAGTAATACATAGATTACAGTCTAACCATAGGTTCGATTGGCAATCACAACTCTCGCTCCCTTCTCTTTTGCACCGTAAGCAAGTGCCTTGCCGGCACCACCAGCACCAATGACTACAAACAGTTTACCAGCCAAAGGTGAACCAGTTGTGTTGCTTGTATGACAAGAACCTGTAAGAAAGAATAGTAGAATAAAATAATTGAGCAAAAACTTTATACAATATTCTGCTTAGATTGGAAAGCAGGCAAAAGAAAAAATAAAACCTCGTAATCCATCCTCAATAGCGGTTATAGCACCAACATAATCAGTGTTGCATCCAAATATCTTCCCATCAGTTTGACTCCTGATAATACAATTGACAGCTCCTATTGACTGAAATATAGTCAAGAATAAAATCAAACACATGCAATATTAAAATTTAAAATCAATTTTTTGAAAATAATGAACTCCATAAACTAATCATCTTCACAAGATAAGCACTGCAAAATAATTGAGTCCATCAATTACCTTCGCAACTGGATCAACCTCTTCACAGCACTTCAGTGCATCCTCTTTGTGGGGAATGGTACAGCTGCACTTGAAGTGAGTAATATTATTTAATTATTGTAGTACACAAGCATAGTTACAATAAGTTGCACAAACAAAAAAAATCAGGAGCATAACCGATAGATGTAACACAAGGAGAAAATACAATAAATGTGACGTCTCACATTGCCTGAGGGGAGAGGTTGTTGGTACATATATGTGTGAACTCCTAACTAAGTAGACGCATTTTGAAAACCGTGAGCGCGGAATGTGCAAAGCGGACAATATTGTACATTGGGGCGGGTTATGACAAATGGCATCAAAATCAATCCCTAGCTGGAAATGGGAGAGTGTGCACAAGCCCATGAGGGTTAGGCCAATGAGGACACTAGGTCCTAAGAGGGGATGATTGTGACGTCTCACATTGCTTGGGAGAGGAAAGGTTGTTGGCACTTATATGTGTGGATATCTCCTAACTGTATAGGGGCGTTTTGAAAATCGTGAGCACAGAGAGTGTGCAAAGCGGACAATATCCATACGATGGGGCAGGTCGTGACAATACACTTTGATGTTGTGGCCCAAACTTTGTTTTGGTGCAAGTCGTGTTGCGACCAGGTTTCGACCCAAAAAATGGGTCCCCCAAAAAATTTTTTTTGGTCTTGTTTTCTCTTGTGGGTCGCAGACCAAAGTATAAAATTCTCTTGTAGCCTAGTATACAAGGGCGTTTAGCATTTGGGGTGCGTAACGAGAGAACATTGAAAACCACAAGAAATAGAGTGAGCTAGGGTTTGGGGGCTGAAACTTGTAGTCACATGTTTTTCGCATAATGAAATCTTTTGCTGGATCTTCACCGTGGACGTAGGCTTTACCGAACGACGTAAATTTTTGTATTCTTTATGTGTGGCGTGCTTACTTTTCTGTCGTAATTCTTGATTTATTCTTGGTTAGCAGCGTTTGTTGCAACATGCGCCATAAGTAGGCCCTTGTTATTTCAATCAGTAGCCCACAAAACATTTGAGCTACCAGGAATAAAAATGAAAGAAAGAAAGAAACTCAAGTAATCGAAAGCTTAGCAAAACCGGAGCATGAACAGAAAAAATTACAAACAGTAAATAAATAAGTATTATTATCAAACTATGAGACTGCCAAAGAGGGTATTAAACCTGAACCCAACGAAATCTGTAGATGAATAAGTCTGGAGAAAACTTGCAATGTCATCCACCAACAAATGCATATAAACTCCATTGAAACCAACTGATTTGAATGAACCATTGTATAAAATAGGTGATTTACTATGGCTAACAGGCTTCCCAATAATGCCAAATACTTTTGTATCGTGCGATATCTGTCTGAAATTGTATAAATTCACCAAATCTTTAAATGTCGGTTGCCCAGGAGCTGATACTTTTCCTGCCTCAAGGGTCCCAAAAGTGAGATATCCACCAAATTTGGGGCAAAGTATCCGTGACATTAAACCCCTCTCACCCATAACTAATCCAATTATTGGAACCTGAATTTAAAATAAACACATCACATTAAATTAGGAAAAAGATAAATATAAGAAATGATTAAAATGTTCTTATCATATGAAAAATCTTGAGCAATAACCATAAAGTTCTCAAACATAACAAGTTAGTAAAATGGGATCACAATTGTGGAACTCTTATAAGATCGAGTTACAACAATAACAAGAAAACTATATATTCATAATTGATACAAAAGGTAAGTACATTGCATTATCGTTCAGATCTAAAGGCATTTAAGTCAAAACCATAGAGTCATTTTTTCGAAGAGGAGCGATGATAAAATGCTACTTAGAACAGGGTATACAAGTTCTGATCTTATACTTTAAAACCAAGGCTTATTTTTCCTTCATCTGCAATCCTCCCAACTTCAGCTACTTATCTATTCGCATGTATAAAATTTTAATCGGCAAATAATAGCCAAGTCATTTATCTTCTTGAAACAAATACAAATTCAGTTTCCATAAGTAATTCAAATATTGGGGAGGAGGGGGGCGGGTAGAAGAGAGGGAATAAGTGGATGTTTGAACAATATATCTCTTAATTTGGAGTTGGATCAACACTTCTATATTGAATTTGAAAACGGGGGGAAAAAAAAAAAACTATTTATTGTTGTCCTTTTCTTTTCTTTTCTTTTTTATTTCCCTGGGTACAACGAAAAGAAAGGAGAAGAAATTTTCATTCTCTCTCTTTAACCAGTATTGTTTAAAATTGAAGAAGTAAGTTGGATGAAACTAATTAATAATATATGATTGGTCAATCACATCTATATTTCTCTCCTTCCCCGCCCCCAAAACAAAGTGAAAGAACCATTATAATTGTTTTATACTTTTATTTGAACTGCATCAGTGTTCATATATTATCAGTCTCTCTGTAATTCTAGTTTTATTAATTGAAATTCCATATATCTCCTTGCTGTAACTTCGTCAAAGTTATCAATTTTTTTGGCATTTCCAAGATTTCCACACACACCCTCATTTCTATGTTTTTTTATTTTCTTCGACCTTTATTTCTTTGTAAGTAACCAAAACAAACTAATGACTCAAACAGTACAAACCCTACATTTTGTATCCAAGCAAGCCTATTCAGTTCCTCTCCTTCGATCCTGCAACTAGATGAGATAATTCTGCCACAGACTTGCTCAGCTAGTTGACTTGAGATAATCATTTTGATAAGATCACTTGGGAAAATGTTTGATTGCAACAACTAACTTTCTTCCTAAATCTTTATTACAAGCAATATTGGCTGTCTGAAATCGAACGGTCATTGTCCATGTATTAAATACTTGTACATCATCTTTCCAGCCTAATTTCCCGTCCAATAGGATTCTCCAAGATAATACCATAAAAAATAATAAATTAAAAAATTTACACCAAAATAGAGAGAATATGATTATATATATATAATCAATGGTCAATACAAAGCGTTGGTTGTATTACTAAACACTAACAACTTACGCCGCTTACTTGGCAATGAACAGTTATTTGAAAAACGCGTGCCACATCAGTGATATCTGTGGCTGTTGTCGCAATCTTCACTATATCAGCTCCAGCTGCTTGTATTCTTGCTACAAGGTTGCCAAGATCCTCAACAGATGGAGTATTTACATAGTTGTGAGAAGAAACGATGAGTTTGGACTTTGCAGGCTTCCCTCCACGTATAGATTTAAAGTCCTCAATAACCTTCACAGATAACAGGTTGCAGTTCAGAAAAATTCAGTCTTTGAAGTTTCAGCAGCATATTCAAATTGAGAATAAGAAAAAGCAATTTGAGAGGCGGTCAGCTATTTATGTGCTTTTGTATCTGAATGATCACATGCCTCCTCTTTGATATTACAACACATAATTTTCAATTGTAAATGGAGTTGGTACTGGAGAACTAAATGAGAAGTAGTCCGATGATCTTCAGGAGATAGCCTTCTTTTTACTTTCCAGAAAAATGTAAAATCTTTCTGTATAGTTTGCGATATATATATGTGTGTGTGTGTGTTTATAGGAAATTAAATAAACATCAAAATCTAGTGCGACGAACACAACTCTCTTTTCAAAATTTCTCTTTAGCATTACCCCCATCACTTCCCCTTAATTTTTACTCTCCTAACAATGTACTCTCTCTCTCTCTCTCACACACACACACACTTGTTTGGTCATCTGGTATCTCATTGTACTCTCTCTCTCTCTCTCTCTCTCTCTCTCTCTCTCTCTCTCTCCCTCCCTCCCACACACACACACACACACTTGTTTGGTCATCTGGTATCTCATTGTAACAATGTGCTGAATTTTATGTCAATACAAATTAAGCTGAACACGATTTTCATATAACCATAAGAGCACCTGAAATTCAACCATTTTTTTTTTTTTAATTTTATAAAAATAGATTCCAGTGAATAGAATTTGTCATCATGGTGATAATAGGCTGTGCAAATGCACCAGTCAAAATTAGCCTTTTCTCAACTCAACATAATCTTAATCTTTACTAAAAAAAAATTCTCCTAAGCCAGATTTTATTAACCAAACAAAAACAACAAACTTACAAACAACAGAGAGGCATTCCTCCCAAACAAAACAATACAGTCATCTAAGAAACACCATTTCCAGTAATCTTTACTACTTGGAGTCGGCTCCAAGTATTCTTTTTCACCAATGAAATCTCAATGGTACCATATTAGGTTAAACACAATACATGTCACTCATCTTTTTCAGCATTAATTGGTCAATACTGTGCAAGACCATCCTAGATGGCTTTGCCTCATTTTATCTTCAATTGGTGCCACATTTATAGTTAAAAAATGCATTAATTTCCTACTGAATTTCCTCTTGTATTGTTCCTCATCCATCTTAACATCCTCATTTTGACAGTAAAACATATAACACACACACACACATGTATGATAAAGAGAAATCAACCCATTCTACTTATCACCCAATCAACCTTAAAGAGGAAAGAAAATGAATAGGAAACTGCCCAAATCATCCTGGAACAAGATATCAATATTTTACTTACACAGCTGTTGATATTACTACATTTTTTCAGTTCTATGCTCAATAGTTCATCATATGCCAAAGTATGAACATATATTGTAATAAATATAGGTCAGATGCATAGCAATGAATAGCAATGTATTACATATATTGGAGACCATAGATCTAACTGTTTTTTTATAAATAATAATAAAAATAAAAATTAAATCCTGTTCATCTCATGACCTGGAAAAAAAAAAAAATTCAACTCCTCAAGTACCTGCAGTAAAATTCGCCTCGAATAAAAAGTGACTAAACCCTAGCTAACCCTTCCTATTGATGAATCATCTGATCGCAGTCATCACTCAAGGAAAAAAAGAAAAAGAAAAGAAGTAGAAGAAGAAGAAGAGGAGGAGGAGGAAGAACTTAACTCAACATTTGTGCAACTTATTTTTTCCCTTTTGTTTTGAAAATGCCTAAAATTCACACTAGAACTGATTCAACTGACTGTTGCTTAGATTTGTGGATTATACTTGTTTCAACTATATTTTTTTTTCCTAGTTTGTTTCAACTATAATTGACAACACATACTTGTATGATTAAATGAGAATCTACATATAAACATCGTCTCATTGTCGATCTATAAAAAAGAAACACACTCCATCATATAGACAACTCCTAAAAAGAAAAGCTAACCTAATGTTGGTCTCCCTTAATTGAGGTGCTGGGAGAGGAAGACTGAAGACATTCTTAAATTTTGCCATTATATTTCACAAAGGGACTGCTCTCATATTCAAATTGACTTTCTCACTGTTGTCTGCCTCAGCTTTTACCATAGCAGCAAGTAATGACCCTTTCATATAAACAATTATTATTTCATCTGAATGCCATTTGTAGTTAAGTTCTTAGTTTTTTTTTTTTTTTTTTGTTAATATATAACTTTCAAGTACTTTTTCTCCATGCTATCTAAGGGCATCCTTGAGATTAATGTCATAGTTATACATACCACAAAGACACAAACCAATTGATAGTTTAACATATGTATATTAAAGCTGTATGGAAAACCAAGCTACTCGACTAGAGGATCCTTCAAGATTGCTAGTCATTTAAAAAACACCAAATAATTTGAACGCATTAAACTCGCATCAAATAAATCATGCATTTTGAACATATTTTATTTTATTTATGTATTTATTATCAATTCAAACTCAAAATCAATTGAACAAGTTTACTAACCCTATAAGATTGCAAGATAAACAAGACTGCTCAAGAACAAGAAGTCAAGTTATGGCCAAGATGTTCTCAATTATAGGCTTGTTTATACCATTAGTGTCTAGCGAAATACATATCCAAACTTAGCCATATTTCTGAAGCTTGTTAATTTTCCAAGACAGGTTCCCACACCCCACTACTCTGACTCAGGCTCAGTTTGTCTCTTATACAGCCCCACAGGGAGTTAATGTTAGAGTGACTTTGATTGTAACTATACTGCAGTGTTCCAGAAAATCAATATCAAATACTTCAAAAATTCAACAACAGTGGCTATGCTATAAGGCTTCTAACATACACGCAGACAGCAAAGATCATATGAAAGATTCCTAACTAGTGCAGAGCAGGAAAATGAAAAAGAGAAGATAAGAAACGTTATAAAGGAAGAGATAGGTTCTTTCCAAACAGAAACTACAAAGGTATATACAACAGGCAAAATGGAATAAAAATATCATGAGATGACAAGCAACTAAGACAGTGGAAACACACAATATAAACCAACTAGTCCATTTCATATAATATTGAACTGTGTTACAACACACCAAATGACACATACTAAATAACGAATTGAAGTTTGACCATAAAATAAATAAATAAAAACAACACCAACAACAATCATCCAAAAATATGTACTACTCTAAAAAAACAAAACTGCAACCACCCAAACAATTGATCCTCTCTTCCCTAATCAGTATCAGAGCACAAACTACGAAACAGTTTTCAAGTATTTTTAGACTTTTTTTTCCTAATTTAAGCCAGTCAAAAGTCTACTTGAGCTTTCAATAAACAAGTATTAAACATATCAAACCTAAGTTTTGGGATTTTTGTTCGTAATTGACTGAAATAAATTTAATATAATTTGATATTGTTACAGGAAATTTTTTCAACCTATCTCTGGACACATCAACGCCAAAATTTTAACTATTTTAACATATATATAGAAATATATATATATATATATATATATATATATATAAAGAAAGCCACCTGAAGCTCAACATCAACATAATCAGCTCCCAACTCCATCGCTAATCGAAGTGCATTCAGTCGTCTGTTCTCATCACCATCATACTGACCACCTTCCCATTTCGGTCTAGAAAAATACAAGAATTCAGAATGTTCCATAATACGAAATTCTTTGTAGGTTATTGAATTAGATTAATTGAATGAAAATGTACACCGTCAGAAAAAGAAACTTTGTTAAGACCAGAAAAGAACCAGAGAAGTACAACTGCTTGACAAGTGAAATACATTTAAAGTCTACATTTCTGGGATAGTGTTCCCAAGTTCTTCCATAGAATAAAAAGAAGTTCTTGCGAATAAACTAATTTAAAAGCTAGCATCTATTACATAACATTACATGATAATAAAGGGCATTATATAAAACTTCAATTACATGAAACCAACACAAAAACACCATGGTAGTGTTGCATCAGCAAGATAGCACCAAATAAGATTTAAGTGATGAGTGAAGATTAGAGGGTTTGTCAACATGGCTATGCAAAAATAAAGCCATGTCAAATACTTTGATTCATAACAACCACAAGGGTATCATTCCTTTATATATTTTTAAATGGATTTTAGCACTTAAGAGACAAAGTAAATCCAAGATAGAACTCTTTCCAAGAAACAAAAAGATAGAAGAAATTCCCTTGAGAGACACAGTAATATGCTGTAAGCCCACTAAGCTGATATCAGTTCTAAATTTAGTGATGGAAATGCAGTTATACAACGTAAGTAATTTTGAGTAACACTTCAATGTTTATTCATTTCAGCGCTGAAGTTTCTAAGGGGTTTTGGGTCGAAGCAGTTAATATGGCATGCTACTCGGTATATAAGTCTATTCAGGCTTCTATTGAGTGAACGAGCCCAAAAGTATGGTCTGAAAATCCTGCTTGTTACTCTCTCTTAAAAGTAGTTTGTTCGTCCCAATTATACTCATGTTAATAATAGAAAAATATAAAACATAAGAGGAAAGAAATGTATACTTTTTAGCTATGCATCTGAGGTGAGGGAATACAAATCGTGTGTCCTCATCCTGAGTTACTTAAGTTTATGTCAGTAGAGATGTGACTTTAATTGAGTCTGCTATGTTTTATCGGTGAAAAAAGGCGCCTTGATGAACGTAAAATCTAGGGTGCCAGTGAGCAGGTGGAGCAAGAATTAGAAGCTTAAGAAAATGTGCAAGAGGATACTATAATCCAGACCATTCATAAAAGGTTGCAAGACTCCAGTATACATCACAAGGCACCCAATGAGCAAGAAAACACCATCGCAACTGGGGGATAGAGGACACAGATGGTGCCCCTTTAAAGATATGGCCATTCAGATTCTTATGGATTGACAGCGATAAAGACAATTGAGGCCACTGATGCTCGCATGAAGCCATTACAAGCTACGAAGCTCCTTAGCCAACTGTTACTATGAGTTAGGGGATTAAATTTCGTCTCAGTAATCAGACTGGGAAGTTGGTGAAACTATCTAAAGGCAAGAAGATTGTTGCTTGCAAATGAGTTTTTAAGAATGACGGAACTCTGGTGGTTGAAGACGCAAGATATAAGGAACACTTGGTGTTTTGTGTTCTTACCAACCATGAAGGCATGTCTCCATTCATGCGTTGGTTATGGTGGTTGCTTTATTTTACTTGGAACTGGAACAACTTGATTTCTTCATAGTGAGATTAAGGTGCAGGTTATTATGCATCAGCCATTGGGGCGGAGGGGATTGTTCAAGGAAAGTGAGATCAAATGCTTTATTTATTTATAATTGTTATTGTGTGTAGATCAAATACTCATTGCCTTTAAAGAGATATCTAAACTCAACAAGTTGAAAGGGGTGGTAAGTTGAAGAAGAAATACTTAGGTCCAGCTAAGAGAAATATGGTTATGAGAATTACAAGGATTAGCAAGCTATAAGCTGCACTCGTCACTGAAAAAGTACTTTGAGAAGACAATTGAATGTTTTGGTGGACATGGATCGAGATTTACAAGTGATACACTTGATGCTGCTTGCAAGCTTTTAGCGACTTTATCGCTACAGACTGAGGACGCGGAGGAGCAAAAAGTCTTGTGTTCCTTATGCCAGAGCAATTGGAAATGTCACCTGTCCTATCTATGCATTAGTACATACACTTCACACTATTGTGTCCATAGTTAATTTTCAGAATACCCAAACAAAAAGGAGGATTCTTTGGTATGTGAAAGGTGAAAGGTACAGCAAATGTGTATTTGGTATGTGACAATGGTAATGACACCTTGAGCAATGTTGCTGGGGTTTGTGAATTTGATTATGCTAGTCACTTGAATAGGAGATCTCTGACGAGTTATGTCTTTGCTTAAAAAACAATGATTCAGAGTAACATTTTGCATATATCGATAGGTTGATTTAAGAAATGCACAGGAAGCGAATTCAATTGCAATCACTAACCTGTAAGTGACGAGATTGGGCAGAGGACACCGTTTAATTAGGGTTTCAATGTCTTCACTAGGATTGAAGCTCTTCAAATGGTCCAATCGAACTTCCACAAGATCAGCACCGTAAGCTTTCGCCTTATGCATATCAATCAACATTTGATCGATTGATTCCGCCATTATTGGAACACAAATTAGGGTTGAGTTCTTCCTCATTGCTTCAGTTTCCATATTAAGACTAGAAACAGCAGGCTCAACCTGTAATCGAACCCAGAAATTAAATGCACAAAACAGATGATAGTAGCTAGTTTTAAGTTAATTCAATTACCAGCGTGGGTAAATAATTTAACAAAATTCAAGAAGATTCCAAGTTTCCTTATTTTTCCCTCTTTCTTACAATTTCTCAACAACCAAACATGGAAAAGAAAATAAAAAAGGACAAAAGTATGGATGGCGGTTACGTCGTTGGCGACTTACCAACTCCATTAAAGTGACTTCTGAGCAGTTGATTGGTTGTCCTCTGCCAGCCAGTGTAGTGCGTGAATTACACACTCTGTATATACATTCACGTACGGATATATATTATATATACACACACACAGACCTCCATATAGACATTGCCACTCTTGCGAGCTTATCTACCCGCTCATCATGACTTCTGACGATGGTGCATCCTAACCGCTCATTTTTCTCGCATACAGAACCGGAACCTCTGTCGGAGACCCGCTAACCCGTCTTAGCTTGGGTTGATTATAATCAATTTCCTAATTAAGATGAGCTGGCTTATAGGAGCACAAGAAGTTTGGTTATTGCGCAAGGTTGCTTGACACATCAATAAAACATTTTCGTGTTTAAGCTTCTCATGTCTTGATCGTGCACCGAAAACTCGTATTAATATTATTATTTAAATTACTTGTATAACAACTCACATTAAAATTACTTATATAACAACTCACATTATTTGTACAACTATTGCACATTGTTTATATAATCATTTTTGCTTGTATTTTGTTGTAAATGATTTCAGAGTTAGCGGGTCAGTAATGGCGTAAAAGAGAGGCATTACTTTATTTTTATTTTTATTTATATTTTTTTTTTACGATGATTGAAATGTACATATGGTGCATAAAGTCATCTGAATTTCTCTAGAAAATTAGACAAACATGGAACTACTGCTCAGCTATTAGAAGAAATTGAATCGCTTAATTGCTGACAACCACCATAATTACTCCGAATAGTTGAGGGTCACCAATTTGGTGGTATCTGTTGCTCTTTCCGAAAGACTCCAGTCTTTTCAAGAGCATTGTTTTTAGTTTTTTTGTCAAGAAATAAAAAAGTAAAAAAATAAAATATTTAGCTGACGAACAAGTATAAAATTAAAATGTTTAGCAGATGAACAAAGAAAGATAACAAAAGATAATTACAAAACCATCCGCTGACAATACAGCCTCAAAAGTCCAAGATCAATATCATCATGGTTATTTCTATGTTACATTCCAGATTTGTTATGATGATGCAGACAAATATTTCTATTTTAAAGCCACTTTCACTATCACGAAGATGAAAAGCTGCTAGAATTCTGAAATTTTGAAGACCATAATACCACACGCACAAACTTATACTATGAGATTTGATACCAATCTCATCTTTAAGCACAAACTTGTACTAGTATCACTGAGAGCGTCCATTACTTTTAGTCGGTCAAACATTCATTTTACTTTTTGTTTGTGATATTGAGTCCATTGCATAGAGTGGAGCAAGAAACGTGAAAAAGAAAAATAGTCCATTACTGAAAACAAAAATACCACACAAAGCAAGACTAGATCAAAACACAGTAAGGAGGTTTATCGATTCCAAAGAACCCTTTATTTACTTCTTTTTTTTCTGCGGGAAAACAATCCTTTATTTGACTGTAGGGTTCACTAGTAGCTGGATATCCACAGGATATGAAGCTAGTGCATTCGACTTCAGTATTTTACCAGACAGCGCCGCCCTTGAGAAGCTACTCAACCTTGCAGACCAATGATACCTGCATAAAATAAAGACAACATAATAATTAAGTTGAAGTTGATCAATAACAGACACTTAGTGCCTCTGGGAGGAAAACAGAACATATAAATAAATCATTTCTATTAATACATGTGTAAGAAAATGTAAGATAACAAGAAGTTCATTTTATCTACTAATCTCCTATAGCATTTTTTTTTTACCCGACTCTGGATTTAAAAATTGATCTATGAATCCAATGATGCCGCAGAAAAAATATTTTTATACCATGTAAGAATGTATATTTCAAATAATCCAGAGGTTTGTATAATTAATCATAAGTTTCACAATGAAAAAGTCATCGTTATATACATAATAAACTTGAAGGTCCAAAGGAAATGATGCTTACCGCAGGCAAGCCTTCCACCAGCATTTCCAGTGCTTTTGCTGAGCTCATGGCCACCTGAACAGTAAGAGGTAGGAATTAAAAACACTGCTACTAGAATTTTGAAGCATAAAAAGTTGCTATTCAGCATATAGAAAGAAAGCTCGTGTAAAAATGTTCAAATATGACAAAACTTTCTGCTATTGAACTCCATTAAAAGCTATGTTACATTTGCAAATGCCTCGAGTGAAATGAAAATTAAATAGGCTATCCTAAAAATAAATGCAGTGCCAACAAATTAAATTACAAGTACCTTTTCCCAGATCATCAGGGTCAGCATGTACAACAACAGCCCTTCCAATGACGGAATTTGGTCCACTGAGTGGAATCTGTGAATAGTAACCAACACTCTGAATTCTATAAAACAACGGAATCAAATAGTCCCACCTTAGCTGAAAATAAAGCTAAAAAACAACTCACCAGTTTGTCAACAATAGTGAAATTGACAGTACCTAAAACAAAAGTAATCATGACAAGAAGTTAGTATGAATCTTGGGGGCGTATAGGAAAGTATAGTCTTGACGATAGCTACATTAAGAGCAATATGTAAAATAGAATTGTATAATAATAATAAATAAATAAAGGCTTTTAAAGCAAAACAAGTAGCAGAATGACGTTGATTTCAGGAACAATATGGCGACATCACCTTGCATGGGTTTATGTGCAAACTTTTGAGGAAAAAAAAACCTTTTTCCTTTTAAATAATCATGATCACAGCAACTATATCTAAACAGTGGTGTGGGTGCAACAAAAACCAGACTCTAGAGTAAAGGTTCTCAATAATTTTAAATAATAATAATAGCAGTAAGTCATGAATAAGATGATCACAACAACTGCGGTTACAATAAATAATTGCAATAATGATGGCATAAGCAAGACATATAAGGGTTATGAAAACAAATAATGCAGACCATCTTCGCAAACTGTGATGTTTCCAAGATCACCAGCATGGCGTTGCTCATCCTCGGGAGCACCATGCTCTTTGCCAGCAGGATTGAAATGTGGTCCTGCAAATTAAAACGATAAAAAAACTGGAGAATGTATATTGAAAATCATTTTACTATCATTTCCTCTATCCCAGTTACCCCCAGTTCATGGACATAATTACACAAATACAATATAAACAAAATTTCAAGCATGAGAAATACCAGTTGACATGCAACCATTAGTTGTGTCACCAAGGGCATGGACATGGAAACCATGAAGTCCAGGTTTGAGGCCGGTAAAAGTTCCGGTTACTGTGGTTGGGCCTGAGGTACAAAAATGAAGTAATTTAGTTCCAAATGCCGAGTCATTGACAATCTGACAGACAATCATGCATATATATATATACTCCGTCTATTACTAAAATTTTGTTCAAAATTACCATCTCCTTCTTGGGTAAAGTGAACAGTGCCACTGACACCCTCACTATTGCCAAGAACCGCAACAGCCTTCACCATTGTTATATGTGATCTAAACAAATGGTAATAACATCAAACAATTAATTAGATATGCATATTATAGTCAACCTTCGTCACTGTTACATGAAATCTAAACCATTGATAATAACTACATAGTATTAGTTTGATGTACATGTGAGAGGCAACCTTGAAGTTTGTATATAAAACTTCTGAATTCGGACAAGTATAATTATGTGTTTAGGAGCATTAGAGATAGTCCAAAAAGTGTAGAAGATACAGAGAAAACTCCTAAACCAGTCTTCCGAGAAGTAAATTGGACTAATAATAATACTACCCCAAACCTTAGTTAGTGAGCAACTAATTTACCGAATTAACCGCACTACATTCAAACTAATTTGAGTGTTTATCTGTGACAAACAATTATGCATCAAAAGGGTTCAAACCCATCAAGCCAAAATTTCATTTTACTACCATTCTACTTTGGCAAATGAACTTTCGATAAAATACCGATGATTTTCTCTTTGTTTCAATTTATTGTTGAATTAATAATCCATTTATCATCCTCAAAATTTTGCGGGTACAGTAATATAGATAGCATAGAGACATCAAAACACCCAAAAAAAAAAAATCATTTACAGAGAAAATTTATTGGTCAAAGCCATTCTAACAGACCCTTTGATTCAACACGCAGGTTTAAAAGTAATGTAAAACGCAAATCTAATCAAAGTTACTCGTCCCCAAAAAAAAAAACAACCAATCAAAGTTTTTCAGTAAATAATAAAACTGTCATAATTTAAAATTCATAGGTTTTCAAGAAAGAAAAAAAAAGAAAGAAAAAAAAAAAGCAGTGAACAAAACAAGAAAATAAGATTAGGATATCAACACACAAACATCTTATCGAACATATGCATAACTATTTTATATCTACAGAACTAAAAGCATATTTCAGATACAAACTATTGATCTATAAGTATTGAAGACGAATCTATCTCCATAGATGTAGTATATGAGGAAAAATTAAAAACAGCTATCATCTAAACGAATAATTATTGGATAAAGTTACCGATCGGCTTACAGGTTAAGAAAAATCAGAGATGAAAGTGAAAGTGAAAGTCAAAAAGTATTCGGATGCTCTGAAGAATAAATAAAAAAAAAACCCTAGGGAGAGAAATAGATTGATATACCTCAGAACACCCCTGATAGAGAGAGAGAGAGAGAGAGAGTAGAGTCAACTGGTACACACACTAAAATGTATCCGCCTATTTAAGCAGGCACACACTAGTTGGTGGGGTTATAATTGTGCAATTGGTGTCTCCACGCGCGCACTGGGGTTTTGAAAATTGAATTTAGCGAATTGTGGTTGTGGGGCCCACGTGATGAAATTTGTCGACTTCCTACTGGTACGTGCAATGGAATCGCGTTTGTTTGTTGTCTTGTCATAGATTTTTGCTTCTCTGAAAGAGAATCTGCATGAGTCGCGTGATATGGTAGGTTGGGCCGGATTTGGGCTATTTAGTTTGTTCCGTTGATGGGCATGTCCATGGGCCTATGGTCTCCTCTTTAAAAAAAAAAAATTTTTCTTTTTCCCCTCTTCGACTATATTGGCAGACTTTTTCATGAGCTTATATGGGCTACTTGAAGTTGAAGTTTAATTTCTCTAGCTTTCATAAATATAATTTTTTTATATGACTAATCTATTTTTGGAGGGGGATTGTGCCAAAAAATGAAGTGGATTCAACTTGCCTTTAAACAAAGAAAAATTACTGATGAACCGTGACCTGACTATCCTGGAGAAAACAGTGTATCACTAATCTCCCTCCCTCTAAACTCATTCAGTTGTAGAATTGTACGTTCGCTGTCCTAATTGTTCAATTTTCCCTGTACACTGTAAGCCCATTGAAATTATTTATTTTAATTGCTGAAACGAACTTGCCCTAATTGTTCTCTTCGTTTCCGTTTTGTTATATCATTGTGCGGTGAAAAAAATTGAAGTTTTTAGATTGGTATTTGAATATAGCAGTTGTGTCGGCAATGATTGGGGGTTCGATGGAGTTTTTCATGATCAAAACTGGCTTCTGTGTGAGAACCCTCCTCCTTATACTGTTTTTCTGTACATAACAACCAACTATTCTTCATTATATGTATGTGTGTGTATAAATATATATGTTCTGGTTATGAGTTTTTCATCTTTTGTTCTCTACTGATCTGATTCACTATGAACTCTGGTGCATAAGCTTTTTTTTTTCTACATGTATGAACTATAAACCATTCAATTTGGGATATGTCATGTAACCAACTATGACAAATGGTCGATATCTTGAATTCATGTCCATGAAGAGGTATTTTACAGATTGAGTTTAAAACTTCATTTTATATCTTAGAACCATTAAGGAACAATGTGATCTTTTTCATAATCTACTGAATATTGGATCATCTAATCTGAATTTTGGTTTGCAAATGATCAGAAACTAGTTCCAATGTTTATAAAATATTTAAAAAAATGAAAAATAATTCACTTCCTTGTAGTATGACTTGGCTTTAAAACAGAGGATTACTAGACTTCGAGTAACCTACTTTAAGATTGAAAACAAAAACATTGTGAGCTTCTTGAAGTTTTGCTGCATATTGTTATCTCTTGGTTTTGTTTGATGTATGCTTATTATGGTCCTAGTTGAGTGTCCTTTTATGTAAGCTATTCTATGGATCTAAGGATCATATTTTGTTGTGCTTTGCTGCAGCCTATTATAAGCCAAGATGAAGTTTCCTAGGGCAACTTTTTGTATCTTTTATAAGCAGAAGTGGAAGCTGTGAGTACAGCCCCTTCTCAGCCATTTTTAGGCGGTATTATTATCCTTGTTTCTCTTCTCTTTTCTTCTTCCTTCTTGTCCTAATAGCTGGTTGGTTGCCCGTCTTGATCTGTTGTCAAGCCTAGGAAAACGAGTGCAAGTTCTGATTTCTTCATTATGAACCTCAAATCACATGTCCATTTATATAAAAAAGATTTGCATCCTATAAAAAGGATGCCAAGAAATCAAATTTAGTACTATCCCTTCATGTCAATTCACAAGTGAAATAGTGCTAAATTTGACGATTATAGTTAACACATAGTTCACAATCAATTATGTTCTGTCAGATTTTCTTCTGAAAAGTTCCCGTCTTTGTTGGGTGGCAGAAGTTGAGCTTGTGTCAGGAATGAGCTGAGCGATGATATGTTAACCTTGGGTGGGAAAAAAAAAATGAGCTGGGCTGATTTTAATATGAAAAAATCAAACTTGCCTCAGTTTCAGATTGCATTAAGTTTTAGAAGAATACTGTAAAATGTGAATGTATTTTAGTGTCACTCAGACCTGGTGGTTGATATTGAGTCTCTAGGTATCCCTTTTGGCTATTTCGAGTTCATGTTGTAGTAGTATATTTCAACCAAAGATCCAAATGCACAATTGCATCCATATACTAGTCTTTAAGCACCGTTGGCTTGAATCAGATTGCTCAGATATGAGTCATTTTTTCTGTTGCAAATGAAATAATCAAATTATATATAATGACATTTTCCATCTTACCCTCGGTGTGGTAATTAGCTTCACACGAATGTATTTGTTTCTCAAGCAATGTTTTATTCTATTGCTACTAAAATCCGTTATAACTCCCCCATTTCATGCATAATATATTCTGTATTTGAAACAACATTTAGAGCCCAATTCTTTAGTTTAGAACCATTTAAGGCTGGCTGATGGACCTTGAAAACTGTTCTGTCACCCTTACTATCCGATCAGGAGGACAACTTCTGGTTGGGTAAACCACATTGTAGCCACATGATGTATCTTTTGTTCCAATGTTCATTTTAGTTGCCAATTGTTGCAAAGTTTCTCGAAACGATTCGGATCTCTTCTTATTGTTTCGGTTTAATTATTCAAGAAGCTACATCCAATTTTTAGCGAGACAAGCTGATATCACTACACTTAATAACAACATATCCTCCAAATTAACACAATAAGCTTTTAATTGGGATAAAACAGCTTTCTCAAACTTTTACATTGAACTATTGAAGTCATTAAATTCAATATTTTACATTCACTCAGATTTTTCTTTCCAACTACACATATTGATCTCCATGTTAATGAACTATCCCTACAAATAATTCTTTTTTTTTTTTTTCTAGAGCTCAAACTTGGATAATAAAACATAATGAGTATCATTATAAATGTGTACCAAAAAGTTGAGCCCGTTAATTTTACAAAAATTATATAAAAATTGGATACTAGACAGTTTAGAGGATAGTGTTGACAAACCAAACCAAACAGAGACTTGGTGGCCCATACCCCACATTCATGGGATAAGTGTTTGCCCTTTAAGTGATGAAATAAAAATAGAAGACAGGAGAGAAGGTATATGTGTTTTTTTATCCACCAATAAATTATAATATTATTTATTTCCATGCTAGACTAAAGTTGTTCTATTAGTTTGACGTTAATATAATTAATATAATTATTCCTCTTTTAATGTTTTAACTATTAACTTAATTACTTTTTAATGTTTATAAAAAAATTGTAGCTTTTTAAAAGTTGTTTAAATTTTGACTAAAAAAATACAAATTTAGATTGATTCATTGTGTTTTAATGGTTGCAAACACGCAACACGAGAAAGAGAGCCTTTTACATTAGGTAGATAATTGAGAATATGATTCTATAGCCTTCCAAAGTTGTGCAAAATATTGTAAAGTATTAGAAGATTTAAAAATATAATTGTGAATATTTGACATGGGTAGAGGATATGATTCAAGAGGATTTCAGAATTAAGTAGAAAATTGTGAAGAATTACAAGAGTATTTTATAGAGTAAATCCTCATCATTAATGGTGATGAAAGGGGAGAATGAATATTTATAAATGGGATAGGAGACTAATTTGTAAACAACAATTACCAGGAGAGTAGAGATGAAATTGACGGAATTCTTTTCTAAATGAATAAGTGCTATAATCTGATATAATCTGATGGTGTAACAATTCATTTTATTTAAGATGTTTTTTTTAAAAAAATTTAATTTTTTTTTATCTCACTAGTAAAATGTATTGGATCGTAACGGATTCGGACAAATCACAGGTACTATATCAAAGAATCACGTATTGGACGATACAGCGAATCATGCTATCACTATCAAGTATCTCATTTCACTTTTACGCTGCTATAAATAAGTTAAAGGTTGTGTTCGGCTACATGAAATTAGAAGAAAAAAAAAAATTGGTTCACGTGAATTTCACTCTCACATTATATCAATAATTTTCTATAAGGGTATATTCGGTTGTATAAATTTAGATACTTGAAATTGAAATTGGTGGAATTTTAAAAAAAATAACTAAGAAAATTGAATCAAAATTTTCTTAAATTTCATAAATTTTTGATTTCATATAATCGAACACACCCTAAATAAATTTTGCTAAATGTTAACTTGGGTATCAATATCAGTAATTTACTGCTTTGTCCACTTTCAATTGAACAAAGTAGCTTTGCTAAGGCAACATTGATTCTTGGAATTTTAAATTACTGACGTCATAAATAAAACGGTTGTTGATTGGTATTAAGTTATTATATTTAACAAAAGAGTGCTGCTATATAACTCGACTTTACAAAAACCGACAACATCCGACTTTTACGTGGCTATCTATTAGTGGACCACTTGGAAATCAAAATATATGAGTATATAACTTGGCAGCTCTTTTTATCTCCATCACAAGTCCATCACAAGAGAAACTTACATTCCTCTCTTTTGCAACCAAAGAACACGGCTTCAAGAAATTCACAAATATGTCACCGAAATAAGTGGCACACCGATTTTTCGACGTCAATGGTGAAGAGTTAAAGTGATCTAGAATGTTATGAGCAGCGCATGGAAAGGGTCGCGTTGAGTGATGCCAATTTAATCTCAAACCAATCAAATTGTTGCTGTGAATGCTAGATGATAAATCATAATCAAGTTCGTTTTGTTTATAGATCGTTACGGGACTGAAATATCTATGGAATCTCAACACGCATTAGTTAATTGCATAGAAATTGACAAAATTAGGATTTCGAAGATGCAAGATAGATTGAAAATTAGTAATTTGGGTTTGACTGATGCATAAGAACCCAAAATTCAAGATTATTTTTAAGTAAAAATTGGCAAATTTTTGAGTCGTCGGATAGAAGAGAATTGGGATTGTCAGCAAAAACTTTTATACAGGATCCAAATCATGGGTTTTGAATCTGCTGACTGTGATGAGTTCTTGGGTTCTAAATCTATTGGCTGGGATGAGTTATTGATTTGATGAAATTTGTTGACAAACTCAGAAGAGTGAGATTAGGAAGAAAAGAGTAGGAAGAGAGAGCATAAAGTTGCGCGGCATGCGATGTCTAGGGTTGGTTATTTGTGGATAAAAAATAGTCGTTTAAAATATTATTTTTCTTAACAAAAGTGGACAATTTATTGCAAAATTATTCTTGACGACAAAAGTTAGTGTAATTTTTTCAAATTATAACAAAGCTGAAGGTTGTTGCCTGTTGGTCATCGTAATTTGTACCAGTCCTCATCATCGCATTTTTTTCCTAAATCAAAAAGCCATGCAACCAAGGTCCAATACACAATGTGATGACTGATGATTAAGAAAAACATTTACTATTAGTTAAATATACTACAAAATGATAAAGTTTGTAACATAGTTATAATTACTTTATACCACCCTAGAAATGGGTTGCACATTTAAAATCTACCACAATTCATGATCTATTGCGTTTCACAATTAAGAGAAGCATAATTCATAATTGATAATGGACAATTTATTGATAATATGCAAGCGAAAACGCCGAAAAGTAACTATATGATTATATCCATATGTGTCCAGTCACCAGTGTTATATACTCCATCACTATATATATATATATAAAATATTTTTTTGTCGTGTTATGAAGGAAGGAAAAGGGCTCACACGTGTCGCGTATATTACGCGTCACCGTAACGGGAATATGTGGTTCCATATTGTTTGGCAACAGGTTATACCTTATTCATGACACGGAAACCTACAACTAATACAGTGTAATACTCTCACTTTTGATTTTCAATTAAGCTCATATTCCCGCCCAGTCGCCCGCACAGTCTCTCTCCGTCTATTCATTTATGGGATTTTCCCAATCAGTAAAGACATTTCGTTATAATTACACCTCCAACCTATCTATCTAGAACTCGTTTCCAATCTAAATCTAGAAATTTCGATCTCTCTCCTTCTCTCCTCAGTCCTCACCACTGAATTTCAATTTCAGAGTCGAAAACCTAGAAATCTCGATACATCGGTCATGAATCACTACCATATCTACGAAGCAATCGGCCGAGGAAAATACTCGGTAACACTCTTCTCTTCGAATTGAATATCCGTTATTTCAGTAATTCACTGATTTTTGTGCTTAACTAATTTTTTATATGTTACATGTGTGTGTTTGTTGTGTAGACTGTATATAAAGGAAGAAAGAAGAAAACGATCGAGTATTTCGCGATCAAGAGTGTTGATAAATTGCAGAAGAGCAAGGTTCTTCAAGAAGTAAGTATCAGTTTTTTGTGTTTACTGAATCAATTTTTGCGGTTGAGATATTGTTTATCTTTTGTGAATGCAATTTCACTGACTGATTAAGGGAAAATGTCTTTAATATTGAGAAGTTGCTATGTGATTTTGAAAATTTCAAATTTCCTTTGCGTTGATTAAGCTACACGAATTTAGATCTTCTACAACTTTAATATCAAGGCTTATTGGAGAACTAATCGGGTCAGTCCACGCAAATGGCTTTCTAGTTTTCATACTGCATGAATGTCAAAACCCTCTAATTATTTGCACTTGCAATTGATATATTGAACTCGTCAAATAATAATTGGTATCATAATTTTGTAATTAAGAAAGAGTCACTATTCACCAGAATTATACTGGAAAACTTGTTGGAATCATGTCAAAAGGAGCAGGTTTTCTTTCAGAGTGTCGGAAAGATAACTGGGATAGTTGGTGGTAAATCATCATCAGAAAGTTGTTGGAAATGTTGCCAAAGTCAAACGTTTATATAGAAAGATGTAGAATCAGAGTGGGACTTTATTGTGTTTTCTAGTGAGAGGGCTGCACTGCAGCCAATTTACAGGGTTGCAGTGACATGGGCGTCAATGGCTCTCATAAATTTGTAATCGTTAGTCTAGTGAACTGATAGAAGCCCAACAAACTGTAAAAGGCCCAATGGCTACGATGAAAGGCAAAAGTCTCCTTTAGGCGTGAGCAGTACTTGTTGGAGGAGGTTCAGGGTGCCATGTAAAGGACTATTTATTTTCTTTGGGTTATCCAATACTACATACTCATAGAGGTTTCAAATTTGAGGTGGTTTGCACAGAGAATCTGATTGATTAGAGCATTCTATAAGCTATAAATACAAGTTCTACTTCTGCTTAACATAATCAATGCATTGTGCAACATAGAAAGTAGAATTTGTAAGATTCATATGCGTGTAGGATGTTAATAAATGGTCAATGTTGTTTCCTCTTTTATCCTTTAAGCATCCTTTTGTAGAAGTAATTGGCTCACTTGGGCATTTAATGCCTTCAGTGCCATCGGACCATTTGTATCAAATGCATTAGGATCCTGAGTCGTGGATCTCTCTGTTTGAGAAGGCTAAGGCTGTCTACCTGACTAGCTCCTTGTCTTAGATGGAGGAAGATTCTGCTATGTTGCCAAGAGTGCAGCATGATGGCTTACTTTTGACATGCTGTTAAGTTGCAGAGCTACTTGAGAACTAAACATATTAAATTGTCATGAAATTTCTGTTTTCTTTATTATTAAATGTGAAAAACTATTTGATGTTATGCGATTGTAGATGATCTAATCACAAGATTGTGTCATGATTAAAATGTTCATGTTTTTATCTAATACATGCTTTAGTTTAATTGTCTTTTCTTCTTTCTTGTAAATGCAGGTTAGAATTCTTCACTCTCTAGATCATCCAAATGTACTAAAGTTCTATTCCTGGTAAGGGTTGTTGTGAAACATAACCTCATCCATCATTTGATAGAATGAGTTGCAAGTTAGGAATTTGGCAGAATATTAAAATTTTAGATGGTCCAAAAGGTGTTTTTGAAAATTGATTTGAATAATCTCTTCACTTCTTTGTCCTCCCCAATTGGCATATTAGGTACGAAACTTCCGCTCACTTGTGGTTGGTTTTGGAATATTGCGTTGGAGGGGATCTCATGACCTTATTACATCAGGTACCTATTATTTATCTGATTGTATGGCTACAGTATCAAATTCTTCTCCATTGGTGGTGCTGCTTATATCGGCAGTTGGGCACTACGTTACATGGATATCCAACAAATATACGAATTCTTTGACACTTCAACATCCAAAAACTCTTATGTGTTATTACAAAGGAAATGAATACAGATATTTGACCTGGCAAAGATTAGAATGTCCCTGGATGCTAGAAAAACATCATGTTGGACAATGATGATCTGACCAATTGTTTCCTACTGTTATTTATCTTCTATATTATAGCTTAGACTGAATTTGGTTCCATCCTTGTGAAAGATACTCAATGGAGCTCTGCCGTGGGAAAAGGGTTTAGATATATCATAATATTGGCGGAAAACTCTAAAGAGAGTTTGTGAAAGCCCTAGGAGTTTTCTTTGAAATAATTATGCTGCTATATGGGTAATAGTGCTTCATAAATATATATCTATATATTTGTCTGCTTTTCACTTGATGTAATTTTATGACTAGAAAATCTAAGTTTCTAGTAATGCATACGTAATGATGTGTGTCCCGGTTCTTATATATTTTATATTCTCTTTTAGAGTTTTATTGTCATGATTTCGTAAAATGAAAGAGAACTGAGGGAATAAGTTTCCGCTTCATTGTTTAATCACCATAAATTCCACCGACTAGGATTTACTTTTATATTTTGATGCTTAAAATGTTACTTTCATGAGTGATTTGCAGGATAGTCAGCTTCCTGAAGATTCAATACATGATCTTGCTCGTGACCTAGTCTTAGGATTGCAGTAAGTATAGCCTTGGGTTTTTTCTATTTTTTTTTTCTTTCTTTTTGAATTGGGTCTTCATCAATTTGGAATATGTTCTATCTCTTTGATATGTTTTCTGGCAATTGGCATTGTTGTTAGGTTTTTACATTCAAAGGGAATCATTTATTGTGACTTAAAACCATCAAACATCCTGTTGGATGAAAATGGACGTACAAAGGTATTTATGCACCAGTTTTGATTCTCTTTTGTGTTATTGTCAAAAACGCTTGCCATATATATTTATAATTTCCATGGAATACTTGTATTGCAGCTATGTGACTTTGGATTATCAAGAAAATTGAGTGATATATCTAAAACACCTTCTTCCCTGGTCGGTACAGCTATATTTTCTCACATACTGAATATGACAAACTCATGAAAAGTTTAATCTGCAATATTCCTTTTTATGAGTTGTTGTTTAAATTCATTTATTTATGTAGTTTTTCCTTCGTGACTTGTTTAGTTGCCACAAGCAAAACGCGGGACTCCATGTTACATGGCTCCTGAGCTGTTTCAAGATGGAGGAGTCCATTCTTATGCTTCTGACTTTTGGGCCCTTGGTTGTGTTCTATACGAGTGCTATGCAGGGAGGCCTCCCTTTGTTGGAAAAGAATTCACGCAGTTAGTAAAATCTATCCTCTCAGATCCAACTCCATGCCTTCCTGGCACCCCAAGTCGCCCTTTTATCAACCTAATTAATTCTCTCCTGGTAAAAGATCCGGCTGAAAGAATACAATGGTCTGAGCTTTGTGGTCATGCGTTTTGGAGAACCAAATTCACTCCATTGCCCTTACCACCTCAGCCTGCGTTCACTAATATGATAGAGATTTCTTCGAAACCATATCTTTCAGAACGCAATGGTGATAAGCCTCTGCAAAACAAAACCCCAACTAAAAGTCGTGAAAAAGATTCAAAAGGGCCTTCCAAACAGGATGAGAATTCAAGAATTTATGACACACCGATTAAGGGTGTTTCTACTGCTCGAAAAATTCAAAGTAAGATTTCAAGCAGAGTAGTTGAGGAGAAGCAGAAAGATACTTCGAGCACTACCAGGGGTGTGAATCTTCTAAGACTCTCAAGAATAGCAAAATCAAACTTACAGAAGGAAAATGAGAAGGAGAACTACCGGAGGCCACTGCCTAATGGTTCTGAGAATGATACTGAGGTCAAAATTGAAAATACAGATATGGAGCTTGATTTTAATGAGAACACTGAGGATGAGACACATGACGAAACTGATGGGTCTTATAACGCAGCTTGCGCCTCTGAAGAAAAAATGTCGACTCCAAATCAGCACCAGGGAAAAACAGAAGAGATGGATAGTAACATAAACCAATTAGATACATCACCTTTGGTTAACACGCCCATCTCCGATTACTCGAGAACACTTGAACCGCGATCATCTTCAGAACACATTGAAGTTGCAGCTACTCCACCCAGTGCTAGTCCTCAACCCAAGATTCAAAGAGTTAAAGAAGGTTCAGGATGTGCCCTTGACTCTGATACTTCAAAATCTAATGACCTCTCTCAGGTGCTTTGGCATCCATCTGATCTCTCAGTCAGACCTGTTATGCCCAGTAGAAAAGCTGATAAAGGATCAGAAGCAATTCATTTGCTTTCCTTTGATGCATTGCCAGCTTCTGATTATGTGAAAATGTCTAAGGAGCAGCTGGACACATTCAACAGTAGGATCATGAGTATCTTTAGTGGGAACTCTGCTATTGCTGAAAAGCAGAATGTGATCAGGTATCTTGAGATGTTAAGTAACAATGCCGATGCTGCCAATATCTTGACCAATGGCCCAATAATGCTAGTGCTTGTCAAAATGCTTCGACAGTCTAAGGCTTCGGCTTTGCGTGTTCAACTTGCTTCACTCATAGGCTTGTTGGTTCGGCATTCTACTTTTATCGAAGATGATTTGGCCAATTCGGGGATTTTAGGTTCACTTACTGATGGCCTCAGGGACAGGCAGGAAAAAGTTAGAAGGTTCTCTATGGCTGCTTTGGGTGAGCTTTTGTTCTATATATCCACTCAAAATGAACACAGTAGAGATAACAATCCGCCAGAATCTCCATCTAAGGAAAGCCGGTCATCATCTGGCTGGCAGGTTAGGCTATTACTTTATTGCCAGAACATTCTTAATTGTGTACAAAAGCTTAACAGTCTCCTTCCCCCCCCCCCCCCCCCCCCCCTCTTCCCCTGAGTAAGCTTATCAGGTTTTACTGTATCATTTTTACAATTTTCCTTTTTAAAAGTCTTATATATCAATTTGCACCTATCGGGATCATTCATAAATCTCTTTTATGGAGATACGAGTTTCATTTTCTATGTTTTAGATGAAGTCGTAAAGATTTTTTTGAGTGCTTTTAATTTTTTCTTCACTAAGTCTTCTTACAGATCCAATTTACCTGATTAATGTCTCCTTTGGCAGGTTTCAAATGCTCTAATTTCATTGGTGTCATCAATTTTACGGAAAGGAGAGGATGATATAACTCAACTTTATGCATTGAGGACAATTGAAAACATCTGCAGCCAGGGAGGGCCCTGGGCTGCTCGTTTCACTAGCCAGGATGTGCTTAATAACTTATGCTATATATTTAGGGCTGCAGGGAAGCAGGAGAGCATGAGACTAACAGCAGGATCTTGTTTGGTACGTTTGGTCCGCTTTAGCCCTCCTAGCATTCAACAAGTTATGGATAAACTTTCATTCAAGGACACTGCATCCGCCCTTGTCAGGGGAAGTTCACGTGAACAGCAAATATGCTTAAACCTCTTGAACATGGCCATGCTTGGAAGCCATATGTTTACAAACATTGGACGGTGCCTTCTTCCACTGCTGGAAGATAAGAATCTTGTTCCAAGTCTCATGTCTCTTGTAGAGCAGGGAAGTGAAGTCTTGAAGGGAAAGACACTTCTTTTTGTTGCTTTACTTAGTAAGAGTGGGAAGAGATGGTTGCCACATTTCTTTTGCAATGCAAGATTACTATCAGCAGTGGACAGGCTGGCAAAGGAGAAGGACAGCTATGTGCAGCAGTGTTTAGATGCATTTGTGCATGTTGTGGCATCTATTATACCAGGTTTGCTGGATGTAATAACCGGAGATATTCAGCAAATGATGGGAGGGAGACGCCAGGGGCAGATTGCTGGTCTTACCAGTCGAACCACTCCGAAGACCAATGTGCATGTTGTTCTACATCTCCTTGGGAGCTCCGCTTTTAAGCATAGGGTGGTCACCAATCAGGTCCTGCAGCAGTTTGCTAGTGTAGTAAAACTGGTGGAGGCTCCTTTTCAGGTAGTAACTGCAACCAAGGCTACATTTTCTTGTTCTTTATCCAATCTTTTATCTTTTTATTTGGTAATTCATTTTTCTTTACTGGCATGAGGAAGTTTTAGTAATTAATAGTTAGTACTACTAGAATCCGTTTAGCTGGCCGTTTGTCTTTACCACATTGTTAATGATCTATAACATGAAACAGAGTGCAACTTGCCCTGAGGGTGTCTTGGCTAAGTCAAGCAAGGGCATGGCGAGTGTGTGTCCAATGTACATGCCTTATCATCAGTATTGCTGTTTCTACAGTATTTCCAATACGCTTCCCAAATCCTTAAAATTGTTCGTAGAATTTTCTCTATGACTCAGATTAAGTGGATCTGTCGGTTGGGATAGAAGGCTTTTTTTTGGCTAATTTGTGGTTACCTTTCTGATTTACTTTCTACATGTCCTGTAAACAAAATTATTTTGTAGAAAAGAATATAGGTAGGAGCCTAGGACACAAACCATTCCCAGAAATGGCAACTGGGCTGGTGGTCCCTCACCATCTCTGTCCACATTTAACAGACCAGCCCCGTCCTTGCCCAAAACCTTTTAGCAGAAGACCCCCTAACCCCATTTCCAGCCCCATTTAAGTTCCCCTGCCCCACCCCTTTTAAATTCCCACTCAGATTTAAAAGTTAAAACACTATGATTTAAGAAAACTTCACATCGTGGTAATTTACAAACACTTCCAATTTTCCTGAAAATGTCATATGCATAATTATGACCCACAACTTGGCATTTGAGCAAACATCATCACGTTATTAGTAAAAGCTCAATTTTCCAATGAAAAGACTTGACTTGTGCCAGACCTCTATTGGCCACTTCAAAATACCATTTAAAGCCAACAGACTACAAACATTCCAAATGTATAAGCACATACCTAACAGTGCCTTGTCTCATCTTCTCACTTCTTAGAGTGGCCACACTTAACTGATCAGGTAAAATTGACCTCACAACTAGGATGCGAAAGAGGTGATAAGACTCAATCTGAAATCGTGATAACGATAGAGAGAGAGGGATGGATTCGATCTATTGTCATGAAACTCGAACTTGCGGGGTATTTTGGTACAAATTCCAATATACAGGGGGTAATAAGGCATTATAAATGGGGTTTGGGGGGGGGGGGGGGGGGGGGGGGGGTGGGGGGGGGGGGGAGGGGTAACTTTCCCTGTCCATGCCCCGAACCTGCAGGTTTTTACCTCAACCCATACCCGTCCAAACCCATTAAGGTTAACCGCCAAAACTGTCCGAAAGGGGGTGAGGTGGGATGGGTTATTGTGCCTTCCCTAGCCATGCCATCCATAGAGAGTTGGTATTTTTCTCCTTAGGAGGTTTTTATTCATTTTTATCATATATATTTCTGCTGTGAAGTGAGATCAAACATAAAACCAGAACATATGCCTAATATTGCCGGTCTACCCAGGTGCTCGGCAACAATGTGCTGAACATACTAAACTAACAATTGGTTGGAAGAGTGGGGAACCAAGGTGTCTGTTTATGTTCATCTGGAAAATTTAGCTTATATTTTGGCTAGAAAACATGGCTGAATTTTTAAAAGGCTAAATATAATATATATGTGTAAATGCATATAAATGTCCAAGTTTGTAACAACGTGGATCAACTTCCTGATTTCAGGAGATCGTATGATATTCTTACTAATATGTGGGGAATACTTATGTACGTCTCATCACTCATTGAATTTCAGGGCAGGGACGACTTCCAAATAACCATTCTACGAGTTCTCGAGTCCTTCACTGAGGAGCCCTCTGTAATTCTTCAAAGCGCCGATATTTTTATTCGTGAAATTCTTCCGAGTCTGGCTGTTCTTTACAAGGGAAACAAAGATGGCGACGCTAGATTTTTGTGCCTAAAAATTCTTTTTGATGTCATGGTCATTTTTCTGAATGAACTACCGGAAGATGAGCAAAGACCTGAGGATTTGAAGGCAATATCCAATAGCTATTTCCTCCCTCTCTACCCCATTTTAATGGAAGATGAAGATCCCATTCCCATGTATGCACAGAAACTTCTACTGATGCTCATTGAGTTTAACTGCATCAAAATTTCAGACATTCTACATTTGAAGACAGTGTCGCAGTGCTTTGAGTTTCTGCTTGGTGACTTCTCAACTGCAAATGTAAACAATGTCATGCTCTGCCTGGCTCTTGCATCTGCTCCAGAACTGGAAACTAAGATACTCTCTCAATTAAAAGTAGTCAGGAGGATTGGAAATCTTCTTGAGTTTGTGTATGCAAAAGAAATGGAAGATTTTATTGAACCAACGCTTCGTCTGTGTAGAGCTTTTCTTCTATGTTCAGTAGGCAGTGAGAAAGGCTTCACCCTTACAAAGGAACCGGCTCTCTTATGTGATGGTTCTTCTGAGGAAAACTGTGCAGTTGATCAGCAGCAGTGCATCAGAGATATAATGGACTTTGGTAGCAATGTTGGTGTCTTGCTGGAGTTGAGTAAGTCTCATGAGGTGAATATTGCAGATATAGCTTCAGAATGTGTAATTTTGTTGCTCAAGGTAGCTCCAAGGGAAGCTACTACTGGTTTTCTAACTAATCTCCCCAAGGTTAGTGTGATCCTCGAGTCCTGGCGCAGGGTTACCTCTCATTTACTGGTGGAACGGATACTGCAGGCTCTCCGTTATTCTTGTCGAAAGTATTTGTCACAAGCAATGATATTATCAATATCCGTATCGGAGATTTCAAGAATTGAAGCAACTGTTTCTGAGCTCAGAAGTTCAAGCATACCTGGTGTTGCTGATGCCGCTTCTCGAGTGGCACTGGAGTTGCAGAGGTTGCCGCGTTGCTTTTGAAGTTTCAGAGGTTGCTTATCGATTAATATTTTCTATTTGGTTTCAAAGATAATATATTCCTCCATAATTCTTTATTAATCTTTTTGCAGGAAGATGAACGTATATTGGCTTTTGAGGTCATGAAACAGCTCTGTTTCCTTAATATAAATAAGGAATCAACAACCCTTATACCATGGTGAGCTCTATTTTCTTTACATTGGTACTATTACAGAGTCCTTTTTTGACTCGCTTGTCTTTGTATAATCAATCATGTATACTTTGTAACATCATTAATATGTCCGGTTCAGGCATATTATTCAAGAAAGTAAAATTTGTGTCGATTCCTCCTGGCGCCCTTTGAACAATGTGTGAAAATACATGCTTAATTCCCAATGATTAGGCCAATGTCTTATTCCAGCAATATTTTGCTTTGATGTAATCATAATATTGAAGCCAGAATGTGGACTAAATCTTAGGTTCTCATCTTAAGCTACATGCTAGATTTGTTGTGGCCCTTTGTAAGCTTACAATCATTTTAGGGTACAGTAATAACTTTAAATTTAGAAAACTTGAGTTTCAACCTACGCTTCATGAAACGATTATGAATCTGTTAATAATGCATGAATTTCCATAGGCTATAGCAACCACGGTTCATCCCAAGTTCACATGGTATGTTAGCTAGAACCAGCCTCTTTGTAGTTTACCCTTTGATGTTGACCTTAATTTATTCTAAAATTGTTATGGAAAGGTTTATATCAAAACTATGCACAAGACTGATTTTTAGAATTGGGACATGTAGAACTAGATTGCGATTGGAGGCCAAATGTTGGGAGCTGTTTTTGTGAGCGAGCATTGCACTACTTGCTCGTAACTAACATTGCTTAGCCATCGCGATCTTATAGAATACTGATACCTCAATCTTTTTTTCGTTTCTTTTGTTTTTTTTTCTTCCAATTATTAGGGTATCCGAGGCTTTGCCCTAACTAATCCGCGGAACCTGTGCAAGGTTTCGTGGGTTCAATTTTTGTATAAATAAATGGTTTGAGTGGGCTACATTGTGAAATCAATTTCATGGTTTATACCAGATGTTTCTGAAAGGTTTGTATGTTTACTTATAGTCCCGACTCCTGAGGGCTTTTCATGATTACCAGACTGAGGTGATTGGTTTATTTGATTTTCTGTTGAGTGGTTAGTTTGAATGGGGAGGTGGGTGTGGTAAGGTCTAATAAGTGTTTCCGAATCAGGAATTGAAGGTATGGTCTTAAGTTTATATAAGAATATTGGAATAGGTTTGAGATAGTTGCTTTACCCATGGGCTACCTTAGGATCAATTTAACCTAATATTTTTCCTACTATTTCACCATCCCACTCTATTCAAGGATATCAATATAGTCAAATCATTTTTTGGTCTTTGCTACACTAGTTTATACCATCTTAATAAACTCTCTTTCATTTTTCACAACCAATCTATTTAGTTTTCCCTACAATATCTTAATTTCTGGTTTTCTTCTTCCCTACTTTAGTTGTCTCTCCCATGTTCTTAATTTCTGATTTTCTTCGGTACACACACCCATTTTAATATTCACATTTTGATCACAGAATGTCTTGTTTCTTAACTATCCAGTAAATTATTCTATTCTAGTTTTACCCTTCAATTTTATCTTTTTTTTTTTATTTATTTATTATTATTATAAATAATAGTTGAACTTTATTTGTACATATGCCAATTATTTACAACCAACCTTGCAATCAACCACTTGAACAACAACCCATTGTTTTTTTTTAGTTTTGGAGTTTTCACCTCCAGTGTCATTACTCGCTCTTCGGTTTCATGTGACCTTGATGTCCCATTGATTTTTTATGGCCATATCGGTGGTCCCGTGATTCGCGGAGGCAATTATTTGTCACAACTTTTGGATTTGTCATCCAAATCATCAGAAAGACGTTTTTGCCCCTAGTTGTCCCTCCTGCATGATCAATCGAACAGGGGCAATTTTGACTCCAAAACATTAAAAAAAACAGTGTAACATAGGCTCCCATTTGATTAATTTGGTAACCCCACATCACGGGCCAAAAAGGATCCTCAGCTACCGAATATGTGAAAACAACTACCAATCGATCTTTGTCTCTTCCCCAAGAGTGCCAACCTGTAACTTCTCATCATCACCCAATGATCACCTTCCACGTGGCACTTGACCCCACATAGAACCTCCAGTCATACCTTTCATCAAGTGTACGTACATATCACATGAATTCTACTTTCGAAAAAATTCCAATCACATGAATTCATTCTTCTCCTCTTCCAAGCCCTCATTACACATTTATTAGTCTCCCAAGAAGCTGAGTGGATTTAAACCATCATTTCCTATTGATTTCATCTTCTTTAATTTTGAGGATGGCTTCTTTTTGGTTTCTCATAGCACTCATTACACCTTTCATGGCTTTACCTTCTTCACTATCTTTACCTTCTCAGCTGAAGTTAGAGACACCCACCGTTTCAGCAGTACCTGCAGAGTCCCCAAACCCTCCCCTCTCTCCGTTTACAGAATTGTCGCCGGACATTTCTCCTCTTCTGCCTTCTTCTGGTGGTGCGGTGCCTTCTCCAACTGGTTCTATCATGCCCACCATTCCTTCCAATCCGAGCCCTCCAAATCCGGATGAACTCGTCAATCTTGGCCCCGGTTCTGCAATTTCTCCGTCCGGGTCTTTACCCGCTTCTTCAGTGTCGTCTCTCAATTTAGCTATGTCCCTACATAATATAGCAGTGTTTATGGGTTCGGTAGTGTATTGGTCAGTGCTGGTTTTTGCTATGTGAGGTAATTAATCTCTGGCTGGAAAATTCAATTGGCTTTGTAGGTTCCCGTTTTAGTTCATGTTCTGTTTATAGTGTATATGATAATGCTTGGATTTAGGTGAGCTGAGTGGCATTATTGCCACCAGAATGATTATTGGAATTTTTGAAGTACAATTTATTAATTATATCTTATTATCTGTTTTGAGGATTAAGGGGTTTGAAAATGATGACTGTGAGTGTAGAAAATAATGCAGTCCCTCCTCCATATGCCTAAATTTGTAGGACTCTTTAAAGAAGATTCTTTTTAAAAAATGCAATCAAAGGGCGTTATCTAATGTTGGTTCCATCTAAACACGGCTTGTTGAAGGACTTGACTTATGGTGTTACTCATATATATATATGTGTGTGTGCTATTAGATTCAAACCCTTAAATGCCAATACAAAGTACAATGATAAAAATGCTAACTGTTTTTTGCTAACCATGTGACAAAAATAGAGATAAACACCTAAGATGAGAGTTTGTTCTTATTCTGAAACCATCATTTGACATTATTGTTTATCGATTTTTGTTACTATGTGGCAAATATAGAGATAAGCACCTAATGCAAGAGAGAGTTTATTATTATTCACAATTGTTTATTGGAGTCAGCATTTAAAATATATATATATATATATATATATATATCCTGATGGAATTTTGTGACATTACTCTAATACAAATATGCTAATTCTCAGAGCAAAAAAATATTATGTATTTGGCGTTCATAGTTGGGGACAGTCCGTATAAGGTGGCACATGGAAGTGAGCCAAATTCTTCTCGGGTTGAAAGAGTGGTGAGAGAGAGAGAGAGAGAGCGGGCGTTCCGTCATTTTCCATTTTGAAAAAACATTGTTCCGGTTGCATGTGTCACTGACTAAAAAATCAGGTGTCTCATTCATCAAATAATCCGCCCACATGATTCTGTTCAAATTGTCAACGGCACTTGGTAAAGAATGGTACGATTATAAAACCTACCCTGTTGGCTTCTAACATGGTCAGGATGGCAAAAATTCCCATTTCACCGACTGTTCCGTCCTTTTAGAACGATTTTAGAGAACTGATTATGTAAATGGAAACGAGAGAATGTGGGTTGACGTAAAAAACTTGGTGGGTTTTGGGACGAAGATGCCTCTTTCCTTCTATTTTCGTATACTTTTTATGAATAGTATCATTTTTATGCTATATTCGGTAGGAAGGAAAAAAGAGGGGACTTATCATTCATTCTTCACAAATTTTATTAGTCCAAATATGAGCGGAAGATAGGAGAGAAACAAGTGAGCTTATTATAAAAATTTTAAATTACTACATCACCTTTCATAAATATTTAATAAATTCCATAAATAAAGTGAGGGATGGGTTTAATGGTAAAAATAACCTAAAATTTATCTTTTCTTTTGTCCTACTTATCAAATTAAATAGTCAATTTTTTTTAAGAAATGCTTAATCTCTTCCCTAAGATATCACAGTTATTCTTTCTTCTCTCATTTCCATTCAATTTTTTCCCGACGGAATGGAGCATTAAGAAATATTCACATTGTCTCTCCTAACAAGTACATTGTTAAACCTTCAATTTAAATAGCCATTTTTATTTTTATTTATTTTTTGTAGCAACTACCCCCTGCCCTATATAATGCCTCCATCTAAATGCGTCAGGGGGCTAGATTGTACTATTAGAATTTAATTTTTTTTTAAAAAGAAAACTGCCTCTGTTTTTAGGGAACATGTGGGCTATCTTACATTAGAATTAGACAGACAGATGCTAACAGCCACCTTAAATGATCCCAGAAGTGATAGAGAACTGTGTATGATTTCTTATAATAATTGTGAACTTAAACTAAAACTCTAAGATAGAATGTGACATATGTATAGCTCTACATTTATATGCGCCATGACTTTCCCACACTGTATAAACATTGTTTATTTTGTACTCAAAATGTGTCTACGCAATTAAAGAACATCCACACACTTCAACCGAAAGGCTTTCACTCTTTACCTATTTTATGCCGGTTATTTTCTATTTTCAGCTGGATAAACTACAAATCAGCCCATCTCCTAAGCTAAAAGGGTCCCCTTTTGCCTTTGTTTCGCAAACATATTTTCTATTTTCAGCCAGATATACACTGCCAAGGGCTACCCAATGCACGAGCCTTCCGAAGCTGTACCCTGTTTCAAACCCGTGACTTCTTCAGGTCACGATGGAGCAACATTATTGTTACGCCAAGGCCAATCCTCCAACAACACATATTATGTAAACCAAAAGAACAATATAAAACAGTTGAAAAAAGATCGAATATGTCTTTCGATAGATTCAATTGAATAAGCCTGACCATAAACAAAACAGCACAACGCGAGAATGAGTTCATTTTAAGGAAACTTAAAGGGGACAGAAAAAAACATAATTGGGAAACACTGTAATTTCATAAAAGGTACACTAGAAAGCTCCATGAAATGAAAAACATGCAACTGAAAAGAACTTCTCTAATGAAACTTTCGACCCTGAATTATCCACGTCGTGCATTTTAAGCACCCTTCTCTACGAGCTTCTCGATCAGATCTGCTGCATCCTGGACAGTGGCAATACCTTGGGCGCTTTCTTCTTCCACACTAATTCCAAATTCCTCCTCCAGTCCCATCACAATCTCGACCTATACGAAAAGAAGAAGAAATAAGTAAAAATTACCATGGAGATCATTGTAAAGGAAAAAGGCACACCCTTTGCATTTACTTAATGGAGAAAACAAAGTGCAAAACAAAGCGATTATTTATTGACACCCATGTATAAACATACATGATGCCGTATAATGGTTATGTGATTTATTGTGAGGTCATGCGGTGCTAAAAATGAAGACAAGAGACAAGGTCGTCAAACATTATCTGGCGTTAGCATTTTATTACTGAAACACAGTTTAAAACTCTCAAGGCGAATTTATTGTGACAAGTTGTCAACGTGTTCAGCTTTTTATTTTTGCTCAAAATTGTCAATGGGTTCTGCTTATTATTTTTGCAAGCACAACAATTAGGATTTCAATTTTGGCTAGTGGATGAGCAAATCTGACATATCATTTTTAATAAAAAGAAAAAAACAGAAGCTATTTTGAGACAAACAAATGATTCTGATCAAAAGACGTAAGCATAAATAACAAATCATAAACTGCGAGAACAATAATTAGCTATGTTAGGAGAATTGATAGTTCGTGGCAGATACCGTGTCAAGAGAATCAGCTCCGAGTGCAGCAAACTTTGATTCCCCTGTGACTGTAGAATCAGCTGGCAGTGCGAGCTGTTTCCTCACTATTTCACACACTTTGTCCACTGTCTCTGGTTTTGCCTGCTCAAAGCATCACTTTCTTTAGGGTTAGGACATTCATAATATATCTACTCGGATGACAAAATCATATAATATGTTCATGCCAAGTAAAGTGCGATAGGGTTGGCTATTGGAATTACCTCCTAGCCGAATATGATATGGCACCTACTAATTTCTCCATTCGCACATGTTATTTTAAGGTTATAGAATATTCTACCCACAATCACAACCCAAGGGGGGAAAAACATAACAATGAAAAAAGGAAAGAAAAGAGGAAAACGTATGGGATTGCAAATCACAAAATCATGGTAGATATACCGAACCACCTCCTATTGATCCATACTGAAAAATCATAACTATTAGATTAATAAAACCAATACACTACTGACATTCTTAAGAACTACACATGTTTTCACGATCAACTAAAGACAAAGCAACTCAAGGCATCCCTAAGATTGAGGAACAGGTCTCCATTTCCTTAACATGGACTAACCAAATGGATGTGATGGAGACCGACTCAGGGAAAGCAACAAATACTAATATAAGCATCAGTTAGTGAAGATGAGGGGCTGGCACTTTTTTTTTTCTTTTCTTTTCTTCTCTCTCTACCGGTCTCAAAATCTTGACCTAGGGTTTGAGTTTCGACCCAAAGCCACTGGGGACAAAGGTAGACCAGTAGGGTCCACATTCAGTCATTATGAAGTGAAATGCTGTTACATGTTATTTGTCTTGGAGTTAGATACCGCGTATCATGTATTGACCTAATCAAACATAAATTCCTTAACCATGTTTACAGCAGCTCTAATTTTTCTGTAAGAATCGAAACGGGTGCAAATGGTGAGATTAAAATTAAGTGCCTCGGATGCGAAGAACAACACGTAGTAACGTTAAATCATATCATATAACTAGAGAAATATACCGCGCAGGAGATGCGAAAGCGAGATGGTGCAGCTCGCAACCGAAGTGATGGGAAGAATTTTCCATTAACACAAAGCGAAGCCGAATTGAAATTAGAGACTCGGGTGGGTGCCTGCTCAATTCATGAAAATGACTTTAGTGAAACCAGGTAACATAATCAAATCAAATATACATATTTAACAGTTTACCATAATATAAAATAAAAAAAAAAAAAAAATGGAATTAGTAAAGAAAAAGGCCAAAAAAATTAGTCTAAAAATCATTTTATCAAAAATTTCAAAAGAATTTAAGAAACAATAGTTCAAAACTGTAAAGATTTAGAGTTTAATAAATAATTTAATCGAAATTTTGGAGTAGAAAAACAGAAATGTGAATATAATAATTCTCAATTAAAAGAGGCACACTTTTGATGATTTATCAAACATTCTTGATCGTGTTGTCTATATAGAACACTTCACCACTATTACAAACTAAAACCCAATCACAATAAGAGGCTAAAAAGCTAAAGATCAACGGATTCAGAATCAATCCACCATCAAATCCAAATATAAGAAAACATAGACATACAAATTATACAATACAATAAACAAATAAAATATATATATAAATATATACATATATATGCACGATTCGGAACAAATTTAAGAATTGAAATCCAGAAGATCTTTAACAAATTACCCGATTTTGTTTAATAGAGCATGAGATAGTGGTCATGGACATTGATGATCCATAAACAGCAGCCATTGAAGGATCGAAACAGAGATACCTCACCCTCTCTATATATGTGTGTGTTTTTGTGCGTGTTTAGAGAGAGAGGCGGGCGGAGAGCACGAAGAGTATGTAAACTAGAGAGAGAGAGACGAGTGCTATAGTACTAACCCCGATTTATATAGTCGTTTTTTGGTTTGCTTTTCAATTTTTGTTGGCTTTGTTTTTATCGAAATTGGAGTGCGCTTCTGTGATGATAAAGTGACGATATTACCCTTCTCACCTTTTGCATTTCTTTTACTATCTTACTAAAACATGTAAGTTGATAAAAAAAAATAATAATAATAATTTAAAATATGATGGTGATTTTATCATCTTAAAACAATCAATAATAATAATAATAATTTAAAATATGATGGTGATTTTATCATCTTAAAACAATCAATTTTTGGAGACACATCACATGTAACGATAAGTATCATTTTCATTACTTTTTCTTTAATTCTAATCCTACATGTCATGTGACATATGACATGCAGCATACTAATAAATTTTTTGTACTCAACTTGTTAAAGGTTTGCCTCATGTTTGTTGGCTAGGTTTAAATTTGGATTTGAATAACAAACTCTTATTATTAGTGAAAAATATAATAAAGAATAATTTAATATTAAAAAATTATATGTGTCTGTTTAGGAACATATTTGAATTAATTGAGGAAGATAGAATGAAATTCACAAATTAATAAGTCAAATTAAAACAATTTTCAACTAGTTTTTATTTTCCATCTCAATGGTAAATTATGTGTCATGTGCATTGAGAGGAAAATACTAACATCTTGTGCCAAGGGGATATTTGGAAATAAATTAGGTTTGTTTGTTTTTTCTTTCTGTTTTTTGTTTTTTTTTGTTTTATCATCTCTAGAAATAATTTCCTTTTCAACATGTATTCGTGAATCATGAGGGCAACTGTGACTCTCTGTAATAACAAGTGTTGTGCATGCAGAAGAGTTGGCCTACATGTGTTACTTATTGGTAGTGGCAGTTGACTTAGGTTTCTTCTTCTATTGTAAACAAAGAAAATGACACATGTACTCCGATAAAAATAAATAAAAACATATATATATAAAATTTAAAAAAAAAAAAAATAGTGACAAAAACTGTACAATATGAAAATATATATACAATGTGTTCGATGGACCGTACACATCGTAATCGTTGATGCCCGCTGGTATTACACACATCCATACAATACTTCATTTCTACTCTCGCCCTTTCATTGCTTTCGGCATAGCAAGAGAGGCGGTGGGTTGGTTGGGCTAATTAGAGAGGTGGTTAATGGTTGTTGAGGGCATGGCCATTTATTAGTTACTGTAGTATCTCATGTTCTGTTTTCAAATCCCAACAAACTTTTTAAAGTAGGCTTGGATGGATGAAAACACGAATATCTAATGCCTAACAAGTTAGATGACCCAACTCATTCTATGAGCCCTCCTTGGAAAGAACTCTTCAATAATGTCCCGAGTATTAAAAAGCTTTGGCAATTTTAAAATTTAAAATTACGTAACATGTAAAAAATGGTTGGGACTTTTCTATAATTATATGTAAATCTCATAGTGAGTGATCAAATTTGCTAATCCCTTTCCAAACCTGCTTTGTCATGGATTGGTGGGGGGTTGAATTGCCATCTCAAGCCCATACATTATTTTGTTTCTGAAGAGATATATATATATATATATATATAGCTTTTATTTTATTTTTTTGGTGAATGTAACACGTTATCTATGCCACATGAATTGTATCTTTGATTATTATATTATATTTTTACTAAATAAAGTATTATTTAGTTCCTCCGCAACACCAACAGTATAGGTTTATTGAACATTTTTAGTTTTAACTAGTTGGCGTGAGTGTGACTGATTAATTTTTTAAGAATTACTTAATCAACCAATTTAATTTAAGTTTACTAACAAGAATAGTCAACCTTTTCACCTCAAACGACCATTATCCTTGTCAAATTCATAATAATTTACTGCCAGTGGGTTTGAGTCAAATCATTGGACCCTCCCAAATGTTTACATGTATAGTAGATACACATTTAGGGAGATACAAATTGAGATCTATGAAGTAAACTAGTAAGTCAATTTTCAAGTCTGATTTAAGCGGAAGAAGAACAAAAAATTGAATGAAAGTGAAAAAGATTCACAAAAAGAACTAGTAAACAGTCATTTGCAGACAGTGGGAGAGACCAGACGAGAAAATGAACAGTGCTAAATAAACTTTCATAATTTAATATTAGCATGCATTAACTAACATTTTATCTAAATTAATCTTAATAGGGTAAGACCATTGTTATAATTGTAAAACACATCAAACAGAGGTTTTACTGCATTCACTCGTTTTCAATTTGTCTTTCAAGTGTCAAGATTCGCAATGAAGTAATAACAAGGATGAAATTAGCTTCAACAACAATAGTAATTCAGGTAGATAAGAGTGCCTAAATATATTTCATTCCTATCAATAGCTCCTTCCACAGTGTCCCAACAACGTCATTCTCTTGTTTTGCATGCATAAACAAAGGAAGTAACAAGGTAACTTAAAAAGGATGATTCTCCGTGTGGATCTATCAACACTTTTTTCACTTTCTTCTCTATAATGAACCGGTCATTTTTTTCCTTTCCTTTCTTTTAAATTTTATGGATAATTTTTTTTCATTTAATTTTCTTTTCTGAACTTTGTTTCTTGTCACTTAGTGTCACGTGCTCATAAATGGTTTCCGAGACTTTTTTGTTTGAATTGACAACTTCTTCAAAGGAAATCCTGTTGCAAATTTGGATGATCTTCCCTATTAAAACCTCTTTTCTGATGAACCAGTGTATTTGAATGAGTTGATTTGAAGGTTTAGGGAGAGAAAAAAAAGGATGGGGTGGGAGTGTGTTTGGGTGGATTAAGTGGAGAGAAAAGAGAAGATAGGAAATTTGGTTTCTCTCCCAATTTGAGAAGATTGGAAGAGAAAGGATGGTGGAGTAAAAAGTTATTCCATTTATGTCCCACTTATATAAGTATCATGTTTTGTTCTTGCTTAGGCCTGCTTTTGTTCTTAATTAATTAGGGATCAGTCTCATTTAATAGGAGTGAGTAAACTAATGATTTCATTAAAAAAAAATCCAAACTAATTATTTTTTTCCCAAGTCCTATCTAATCTTGTTTCAAAATATGGTATGTGATTTTGAAAATGGATAATGTGTAAAGCAATTATGGAAGGATAAGACATTAATTTGATCACTATTTATTTATTTATTTTTTTTCTATTCTCTCTTCTATCTTATCTATACAAAAATAACTATCAATTCTTTTCTTTCTCTCTTATCTGTCCAACACGGAATAAAAATTATTACTATCCTCCTTTTCTTTATCTACTAACTAATAATATCTTTTATTTTCTCTTTTTCTCCTATTTATCCAAACCTTACCGGTACATAGTATCCCAAAATTCTCTCCTGCTATTCTTAAGCGGTTGGAATTATACTGCCTTACACGACATCGTTGCCAAAGAGCCCCTTACTGGTACATAGTATCCCAAAATTGCCCCTAGCCAATACATGGTATCCCAACATTGGTACTCAACGATCCCAAACACAGTACTAGTGCTAGTAAAATAAATTTCATTTGCAAGAAGTATGGTAAAAAAATTTCATTTGGGAAGAAATTCACTTTACAAGCTGACAAATTTTGCTGGAATCTGAATTCTATTTATCCACTTTAAAAGTACAAAGAGATATCAATAGACTTACATACACCATCTATTATATTTAACTTTTCAATATATGACATTTCTATGACATTTCCAAGTCAAGAATTCACAGACAACCAATTATTATTTCTACTAAACAAAAACATTTCATTAATTATCACATTTAGGAAATCCCTGGTATATGTTCATATGTTCAATTTCAATAGTTTAGTTATTTTATGATCAAGAATCTTGAGCCTTAAATGTCATTGAAATTAAATTTGACATGTAAAATAGGTTTATAAAATGTCCAAGACTAGACATTCCCTCTAGCAGCGGGTCACATTTAACTTGGCTTGCATCCCGATTCCAAGTCCTCACAAACCTCCATTCCAAGACCATCCCTAGTCATTGATATATCATTGTGCAGGTAAAGTGGTTAACAAACACACACATATATAAAAGCATATCTGTTTACACTTTTACACACACACACACACACACACACACAAAACTAGTTACACTTTTACCGCATTCACTCATTTTACATTCACATTGCCAGAGTCTTCCAGTTCCAAGCTTCGCCTTTAAGTTATGATACCAATGATGAAATTAAATTTAACAATAATAATTCAGGTTAATAAGAATTCCTAAATACATTCCCTTCCCCTTTAAGAGCTCCTTCAACATTTGTCCCTAAAACCTCATTATCCGAACAGCCTTGTTTTGCATGCATAAACAAAGAAAGTGACGAGTGAACTTAAAAGCAGAGCATTATTATGTAAATGGGCACTAATACACTACGAAGGGAACACATTGGATAATAATCCATGATTGTCCGTGCTGATCTATTAACACTTTCTTCTCCATTCCAGCTTCATACTCACCAGAAAGAATATAAACTTGTTTTATGGACTAATCATCATCAATAATAGGTAAAAATATATTTGTTGTTGAGGTATCTGACGCCAATGCACCAAAGTGAGAATACTATAGCGTTTGTGCTATCAACACCAACAAGCGAAAGAAAAGAGTGTAAACCTGAATTCATTTTGGACAAGCTGAACATCATAACCAACAATGTCACACTTGTATAAAGAGAACAATCTTATATAATTTCATTTATTTATGCTCTAAACAAAAGAGGAAGATAACATTTGATGGATAAAAAAAAAACACCACTGAGCTAGATGTTTGCATCAGTACAATTGAAAATCAAAATCATCAATTTACCAAATTAAACTAGTTCTAAAATTGTATGCCAAACAAAACCAAGATAGAAAACCAGACTGATACCCCAGATACATGGACAGTCGTATATCAAACCACGCCTAAACCACTACGGAAGTATCCTAGAATCCAATGCACCATGTTGAGCTTCAAGTTTCAATTGCACGACCTAAACCGGAGAACTCAGTTTGTTTAGAGATTAATGGATGCGAATTGATTGCCAAGAGTAAACAAGGAGAGACCATTCTATAGTTGGAATCAGAGATGTACGACCTTAAAAAGTCCACTCTGTTCCTCATCTTCACATATCCTAGTTACTTTGAAAGATTCAACTTCTCCTCGTATAACTCCAAAAGCTCAGGAGCTTCTTCCTCATATTTTTGCACATACTTCTTTAGGAAGCGACTTTCAGGAGACTCCAACATCCGAGTCAAGCTAATTTTCTCCTTAAGCAGACCTTTCGACAACAGAATTTGATAAACAGAACACCTTGGAATGATCCTACTCTCCAAGCTCAGGAGAACAAGCCATGGACTCTTCACAACAATTGAAGACTCCCAACCCATAGTATTGACAAAAAAATCCATTATCCCCATAATCTTATCCTCCGATGGCGTCATACACCATGGCTGCTTCTGAAAAGCCACCAAAATCTCCTCTTCAGACAAACCCCACTTCTTATAAACCTCTACCTTCTTTTCCCAAGTTGATTTACCCATTGTCCTCATTGCCTTAATTGCTAGAGTAAACTTCGTGCTCTGAGGGTTAAAACCCATTTTCTTTAGTTCCTCCACAATCTCCTTAAACCTATCAGTACTAGTCATGATAGCTTTAGGATGACCCGTCAAGAGAGCCACAATATTCGATTCGGGCACACCTAATTCTCTCAGAGCTTCAATATTGGGAACCATAAATATGTGAAGATCATGCAACAAAAGCCCAGCATAACGTTTAATAGCTGCAAATGTTTTTTCTTCAGACTCGAGCAATTTATTTAAGACATTGTATGATGGGATTATATGATTTTCCAAACTTCTTTCCAAAATACCTGGTAATGCAGTCAGTATTTTGGCAATGTCTTCTGTTGAAACACCTTTAGATTGGAAAAAATGGATTTTGGGCAAAAAGTTTATTTGGGGGTTGGACGAGAGTACCTGAGGGGATCTTTGGATGAGAAGTGAGATCTGGGTTTTGGTGAATCCATGGTTGCTGAAGAATGCAAGAACAGAATCTGGTTTGTCTGGGGTTTCCAAGTTCACGTACTCGGAGGCTGCGAGAGCCTTTTCTGGAGTTATACCACATGATTTTATGAGGTAGTCGATAGTGAATGAGTTTTGATTTGCAGTGCGAGGGATGGATTCGAGCGTTGAGGATGATGAAGATAGTGGGTAATGTTGAAGAAAATGTAGTTTCTGAGGTGTTGAAGTTGATACAACAACACACCTCAAATAAGGCAACGATTTGAATATGAAATTAAACATGGACAATGATAGAAGGGAGGACTCACCTGTTGATGTGTTCTTCTTCTTCTTCAGAAGGAATCTCGTCGCAAATTTGGCGCTCCTTCCCTAAAACCCACTCTTTTTGATGAACCCTAAAACCCTCTCTTTTTAGGGTAATTTTATAACTTAGGAAGCCTTTTGGCTAAAATAAAATAAATAAAAATAAAAATAAAAAATAAAAACTTAGGAGTTAGGGAGCCTTATTAATTATTTCAATTTCGGAACAGGGTTCCGGTGAACGTAAAAAAATATATATATATTGTTTAATATTTTGAAATATACATATATTAATACAAGGAAGAAACTAATAAAACACAAAGGAAAACTAGTCCTGAGTTAGTAGTCCTAAATTTATTTTTCAATTAGGTTGAATTAAGCATAATAATTATATTTGTATTGAAAACTATTGTTCATGTTAAATGACCTCCAAACTTTTATTCTAAAATATTGAATTATTTATCTTTAATCAAATAATTCGTTTATTCAAGACAATGTCACATGGTAATTTTAAAACAATAAACAATTCGGAAAAACTCGGTGATAAGATTTATAAGCAAACAATTATTAAACGAATTCAGTATCGACAATATCACGTGGTAATTTCAAAATAATAAACAATTCAGAAAAACTCGGTAATAGAATTCATAAGCAAAGAATTATTAAACAGATTCAGTATCATTTATTAATAGATGGAAGATCGTCACAAAGCAGTGACTCATAATGAAAATTATGTATGAAGACCAAGACCACAGGCAACTCCCTGAATAACTTTTAAATAGTTGTTATTAAGCTAATATGAACATATTTTGTATCAAAAAATGAACAGATTTTGTATCCAAAAAACTGTGATACTGATCATTAAACTAAATAATTAAACATAATCATAAATGTTAGAATATAGATCAAGAAAAAAAAATAGAATTAAGGTTTTTTTTTTATGAGGAAAGAAAAAGAATGTGCAATTTCATTCCACTCTTTGTTTTAAACTAGAATTGTATCATTAAAATGACAAGCAATGATCACTTTTTGAAACTAATATTAAAGGTTATGTTAACATTCCCTCCCAACATCCTTAATTAATAGAAAATTTTACTTTTCATAGTATAGAGTTTGAAAAAATTAAATTATTGTGACCTTATCTCCATGTACGAAAAAACAGAAAAGAAAAAAAAAGGGGGTGGGGGGTGTAAATCACTTACCTCTCATGACTCATGAGATTTGAGGGGAGCATTTAAAATTTATTATTCTGGTTTAAGTCAACTATACCTTGTAATATATTTTTATAATATAAAATATATTATAAAATCTAAAAAAAAAAATAATTTTCTATCTCATCTCTCTTATTAGTCTCTCTCCTTCCACTACTGTTACCCCTCCTAAAAAAATATTGTAAGTAAGAAAAATGAGTGTAATGGCAACTGGTAATCTTATGAATTTTTTTTTACAAATTCTGATGAAGAGAGTTGTTGAGCATATACCAAACCTCAAGGCAGATCAAAAATTCAAAATAATGTTAGGTAAACGGTTAGATTGGTCCAAACATGAGGTAAGTGTAATTTATTAAAATATATATATATATATATATATATATTTTATATTTTGAATTCGTCATCATCAGGTACAAATTTGCCACTTATAGGAGTCAAATCATTTTGACCCTCTCAAAGAGGCAGCCATGGCAAGACCGACATGACCCTCAACTGAACCATTGTCTAAGCCGAGCCGGAGAGGCGATATTGGAACCGTTCAAATGCAACCGCAACACAGCCGGTACAACTGCTCTCTCACACAGTGGACACCAGCAAACTCCACATTCTCGTCCTCCTAATTCCAATACATTCTATTCTTCATCAACGCTCCCAGAATTAGTGTTTCAGACCACCAACTCTCTCTCTATCTCTCTAGCTATCTACATTTTTGACTTTCTATATCCAATCTCCAATATTGCGATCGAATTCGAGACGAAACACGTGAATCGCTGGACTTGTTTCGCTTTAATCCTTGTACTCGTCGCTGATTGTGTTTATAAACCATCTGTAATTTAGGTTTCGCCTCGTGCTCTGTAAGTCTCTCTCTCACATCGATGCTTTATTCTTATCTTTATGTGTTCTTTGATTATATAATTAATGTTCTAGATGTTTGATTGCTATGCGATTCTCTGATTACTGTTATTGGACTGTCGTAGTATGAAGTATGAAATGAGACTTCAAATTAGGGCTATGAGAACATGATTTGCGTAGTACAAAGTATGTTTGGTATGTATATGTATATATCGCAAGTTTGATGGTTTTGATTTGGATCTGTTAGGAGGATGTGGCTTTTATACTTAATAACGTTTTTTTTTTTGTCTGTCTCTCTCTCTTCAATTCACACTAATCGCACTGTTTATGTGAAAACACTATACTAGTGATTGACTTGCCATTAAGCCGGAAACTAAAAGCTTGATTTAGCACTCCCAAACATGTAGAATTATACAATTCAAGTGTGCAGGAGATAAATTAAACCACAACCACAAAGAAGGGACTAGAGATCTACATGATTTGACATCAATTCCTCCTATATTCATGGGAAATCCAGCAAGAAGTAATTCTCAATGCCTTCTCTACCAATCCTCGACCTAAGGGTCAACAACACAAGCCAACTCCTAAGTCACAGAGGACAAAAGAGGTCCAGTAGCAAGAAGTAATTCACTATGAAAGAAATTGTGACTGATTTCATTCCCTTACCTTTCTACAATAATAATAGACAAACAATCAACCACAACTTTTACAAGTACGACACTCTCAGAATGCCATTATAATGCCTAGATTACAATGTAAACAGATTAACATGCTTGGACTAAATTCTTGCATGAGATAATGATGAGAAACCCCTATAGTGATTAGAGAAATACCTTCTTGGTTCAGAGAATTTCCTCCAGCAAACAAACTTTGTTTGTACGTAACTCAACAATGCTTTTTATCATCATTATTAGTTTTGATAGGAATCAGAGTTTAACAATTTCCGGATAGAGTTACATTTTAACTTGATTTGTTATGGTTTTAGGTGAAGAAGAATCATGACCACAAAACTATTGGAGATTGAACCCAGCGAACTCAAGTTTACATGTAAGTACTGGAATTCTCATTTGCAAGCAACATTTGCATCTTTAGTTTATTGTTTAATTATATACATTATATGTTGTTGTAAGATCAAACAATTAGGAACATCCCAAGGTCGATGTTACTATGAACCATTATTATCATTCTTGAGAGTTGAGTGCATTTAGTTTCTTTAGTATGGTTATTGCACTTTGTTAAACAAATTTTGAGACTATGACAGCGGGTTAGAATTATTATGCTTATCGCTTTTTGCGACTCCTGTGAAGATTAATCCTTGTGGGCTGAGTTGTACACTTTGTGTGACTTATATTGTTTTGGGCAATTCTTAGTGCTTTATGCATGTGTTGATACATGGCATACCTTATAAACACAAGTATGTGTGTGTATATATATATATATGTATATATTTGATAAGTCATACCTTAAACACAATTTAAAACTTTGTGTGGAGCACTCAAGCATTTAAATCAATCGCATCACTCTGCATGTTCTTTGACAAAGAGCATTCTACACAGCCATGTAGAGTGGTGGGGGTTGGGTGAGGAAGGTGGTGTGTCTGGGGCCCATTTTTGTAACTAGCATGGTTAAGTAAGTAATGGTTTTACAATGAAGCTTCAAAGTCTATTGTGAGTGGATAAGGAAGGAGCTGGTTTGTGTTGTTCTTTTCCAATAAAACTGTTCTTTTACAATGTGGGTGAGTTTTGGTTTGATGAAAAACTGTTTCCTGATTTAGGAAGATATGTGAATATGTCTATTGGGTATGAAAGATTCGGGGGAGAAGGCTGCATCATGGCTCATAAAGCCAGCATGCTCTATAGGAAACATTTGAACTTAGCACCAGTGACATTACCATTGTTCCAATGCCAATTGGCCATGGTTTCTGAAAACTGCTAATCAACAAGGCATCCTGGATCAGCTTGGTTGCTGAGCTAATTTAACTTAGCTTTTTACAATTTACAATTATGGATCAAGTTTAGCTGGACAGTCACTGAATATTGAAAAAGGCTAATGAATATAACTAATATGTTGATTCCAGTTGCCTCCGAACAATTATTTTTTAGAATATATGCAGACAGAGTAGTTTATATATTGTTCAAGAATACATAACACCTAGTATGTAATTGTAGGAATTTTCACCCATCCTACCTATGCGGGGTGCTGAGAGAGGAGACGTAATTTTTTTCATTATTTTATACAAAGTGGCCATACGAAACTCAAAAAAACTGAGACCTCAGGCTTGTAAATAATTGCCCCAGACAATCACCCTTGGTAATTGGAGGATTTTAACATTCCTAATTATGGAGTAGTTTATATTCCAGACGCTATAAGTATCTCACCTCGTATCATCATCATCCTTGCCTTAATCCCATATGAATGGGGTCGGCCATATGAATTTCTCTTTCTCCAATCCTTCCTATTACATGCCATTTAGACTACTATATTTAGCTTTTTGAAATCCTTTTATTAACTTCACCTCATATCATTTTTGGTCACCCTCCGTATCTTACCTTCTATTACAACCAATCTTCCTCGTTTGACCTAGTGCGTCTTTAGGTCTCCGATGTAGGTGTCCAAACCAAAGTCTACTCTCTCTAATTTTCTCACTAATAGAAGCCACCCCTAATTTATTTTTGTCACACTTTCATTAGTAACCCTATCTCTCCTAGTCACTCCACTCATCTATCTTAGCATTCTCATTTCCGCTACATGAAGGCATTGCTCTTGTTTCTTTTAGGGCCCAACACTCCATCCCATACAACATAATTGGTCTAATAACGGTCCTATAGAATTTTCCTTTGATCCTATGTGTTATTCTTTTATCACATAAAATTCTACCAGCTTGTCTCCACTTGGTCCCTCATATAAAGTCGTGATATCCTTATATAAATGGTTTCTTATGTGATCAATGGATATCTATAACAGTAATGATGCAAGCAAAGAGCTGTAATTCTGATTGTAACAGCTGTTGAGAGTGTGTTTTGCATTTCTTTTTCCCTGTCATTATGATTCTTGCAACTTGCAAATTTTTTTTCCTTCTCCTGGTGAGCTTGTAGAGTGCAAGGTCACAATGGTTTGATTACGTTCTTGTACATTTTAAGAGACCAGAATTCCAACTGGACTTTGCAGATCAGTGTACAAATATTAGAATGCCAATAATATTATATTATGCTCTTATAGTCTCCGTTTCTTTTGTCTCCCTCTGCCATTTATGACAGTTTTGTGCCATTGCTGATCTCAAGCTGGTCAAGTAAATAATGACTTTTTTTTTTCCTTCTGTTTTTAATATATTGTCTTATCTTTATATCATAGTTTACTCATAAAACTTGAAAACAGCAAGCCTAAATTCTTTCCTCCCTTCTGTTTTGTTCTATATGTAGTTGAGTCGAAGAAACAAAGTTCATGTGCAATTCACCTTGCCAATATATCTGATCAATATGTTGCCTTCAAGGTGTAGTAATTATCTGCTTAAAATATCATGTAAATTCTTTTTTTTTTTTCTTTCCCCGCGGTTTCTTGGAAGCTTCTTTATATAATGTAATTAGAACACTCTAGAAAACATCGGTTTATGTCTAATTATCTATAAATCACACTAGCAGGTAAAGACTACATCACCGAAGAAATACTGTGTTCGACCTAACATAGGCATTGTCAAGCCAAAGTCAACATGTGATTTCACAGGTATATATTCCCGCACTTTTTATTATGCCCATGTTTTGACCACATTTCTATTATGCAGTGCCACCTTCGCATGAATACTTTACCTATGCTGATAATATTTTGTAGAGACAAAATTTGGCCTGCCTTTCTTTATTAGGAAAATATTTTTGTACTGACATCAGGCTAAGCAAATTAAGATAAAAATTAGTGACAAGTGACTTTGGAAGCGTTCCAGGAAGGGACGTTGTAGAGTGAAGCGTGGATGTTTTCTAATGCACATGAACTAGAAGCATATGGCTTCCATTTGTTTGGTATGGTGGGACAGGAACTATGTCCAATTCCGTAATAAGTTTCAAACTTCAAACTGAATATACACTTGGGTCCAAATTTTAGAAATTACTGGGAATGAATAGTAAGTTTCTTGGAAGTTCTGTAGAAGTTGGAATTGATTGGAAAATCGGGTATAATAATCAATGCTGATTAATTATATAGCAAAGTTAACTGCTTGGAACATATTTTGACACCAATGGGAAGTGATATACACTCCTGCATTAGTGAAACAAGTCAACAACTGCTGCATATTTAATATCAGCACATCATGTGGTGGACCCCATTCATATGGGATCATGGCAAGGATGATAATGATGACGACGACCTATATTTAAATGTTGATTTTCTACTTCTCAATAACTTTTGGTGTGCCAGTCATTGTCTCTGTCACTGGGTATTTAAAAAAAAAAAAAAAATTGTTCACTAAGAGGTGTGGGCTTTTATGTTCTCTTTCATGTTAGAAAAAACTGCACTGATATTTTTTAGGATTTTGCTGCATCTTGCATGATAATGTTGAACATCTGCTTGTATCTGGAGCTTTGACATGACATTACTATTTTTAAGCATGTTAATAAGGATTAGGGACTATAGCTGGTATAATAAAGGTTTTTCGTGTTCTTTATTGGAGTCCTGAGCTCCAAGACCATTGACATAGTTGCTATCTAGACTATCCACCTTGGATGGATGCCTTCTCTTGCCCTGCCTTTTTTTTTGGTTCTCCAGATGATAGTTTGAATATTCAATTATGCATGTCTTTGGTAGTCAAAATTTTAATGAGCACCCATCCCATCCCATCCTATCCCAACACCACCAAACACCCAGGCCAAAATAGGTAACTTAGGTACAGTATTATAATTTTGATTTTTTTTTTTTTGGAAGCTTCCTTTTGAAATTTTTAGTAATATACAAACGTAAAGAAAATTATTCAGTTGAAGAAATATAAAATTTTAAAGCTTAGTTTCAAAACCAATGCATTACCTAGTTCATTTACTGTTTTTGATTTGATGGGTCGAATTTGGCTTGTATTTTCAATATCATCTGAATTTTGTATAATGTTATGACCACTTGATCATGAATGTTGATTGTGCGATGCTGTTATCCATTGTTTACTATATTTATCCAATATACATGTTTTTGTTTTCTGCAAGTGGTTCTTTTGCCTCCCTTTTTACTTATTTGGTTAATGCAGTTACCATGCAAGCTCAACATTCAGCTCCATCTGATATGCAATGCAAAGATAAATTCCTTATTCAGGGCACAATTGTCCCTTTTGGGACAAGTGAAGAGGATGTCACAACTGGCATGGTAAGAATTTGTGGTTGCAGTTAATTGTAGACAGCCTATTGTGGATTCTTATTGGTTTATTTGCAGTTCACAAAAGAGAGTGGTAAATATGTGGAAGAGAGCAAACTAAGGGTCATTCTGGTTAGCCCACCACATTCTCCAGTATTGCTACCAATCAATGGAGTTTTGAAGCAAGAACCATCTCATGAAACTTCAATGCAGAAAGAAAAATTACTTAGTGGAGTAGAAAATCTTCCCCCAACTGAAATGGTGAGAAATTTATATATCACTACATATACATCGTCTAGATCTTGTACAGGGCTCCTGTTTGCTTAAATTGGCCTCCTGTGTTCCACTGGTCCTCAGGAGTTATGCGACATTGGTTGTCCTTTTGCATTTTGTACATTTCAAAAACCATGGGACATTTTCGTAGATGTATTTGTTTATTGCACGTATAATAATTTGTGTTTCCTTATCTTGCACTTTTCTACCTGGCAGACCAGTGCTTATTGTAATAATGTCTTTTACATGAAAATCGTTCTTTCTTGTGTGCCAGGCAACTAGGGATGCTGAGGATTTCAAAATTGCTACAGATATGGATGAGCTAAGACCAACTAAAGATATGGAGTTGAGGCCAACTAAGGTTATAGAGGAACCGGAGTTGAGAGCAGTTAAGGATATGGAGCCGATCCATGCTAAGAATGTGGAACCAAGACCAGTTGAGGATGCGGAAGGAACAAAATTAAATTTAATTAATGATATTGAGGAGTTGAAGTTGAAGGTGAATGGACTGAATTCAAAGCTAATTGAGGTTAGTGTTTCCCGCACTAAATTCATACCCATCTAGGATGGTGAATGCTGGTCCCTATTTCCTTGACCTATATTGTTGGGGAAGGAAATTGGATATGATAATCCCTAAATCAAAGGAAGGAACTTGTAGGAAAATTTATCTGGATTTTCTTTTTCTTTTTTTTTTTAGTTATGCCTTAATCTTTGAAGAGGACTAATGGATGAAAATTTTGAGCCTTATTATTTATTTCATATCTGCTTCAACTGTGGATATTATATTCAGGAATACTGAAAATAACAAACATTGTGGTGGACACCACACACCAGTACTTGTGCCCTGCAGCATGTTGTTTTGTTAAAGATATGAAGTTTTCCTTTCATTTGGTGATAGCCTGACTACTTCAAAAGATGAATATGGCTTATAAAGCATCTTTTATGTACCTAATACTTTGATTGTCATTAATATTATTTTACATGAGGTTTTCAAATTTAAGCTACTTATTCATGCGACAGAAATGAAGTTTCGAGTACTTTTCTTGCTCAAAAAGCTGCTTCTCTCTAAACTTACGAAGGAATTACTAAGCAAAATTTTGTGAAAAACTTTTGTAGGCCCAATTTACCATCACGAAGCTAAAAGAAGAGAAGAGCACAACAATTCAAGAGAATGAATCACTCAAGCAAGAGCTGGTTAGTGACACTGCACTCTATGCTTCTCTTAATTTGTTATTTCGTTGAATTATTTGTCTGGTGAATCAGCTATAGTTATATTATCAAACACGGGCAAGTTTCCCTAGAAAAGAAAAGTTCAATAGTTTATTTAAGATTTCACTAATCTTGTTCTAATCTCTGTCTAGATACAAACACAATCTTTCTAACTTGTCGAAGTTTCATCTCATGTTTCTTTTTGGTAGGTAAAGTAGATGTATTAAATAGAAATACTAAAAAGTGGACTTTTAAGTGCAAAGGTACTGAGGTTACACTCCGTGTCAAACAGGCAGATGGCCTACCATCAGCCTTACTGTACAACTACTCTAAATCAGAACTCCCAAGGGAAAACAAAAACAAAAGAACAAAGACCTAAATAGTACAAATTAGTTAAGGAAAATAGCTTCTGTCCACCCGGTATTCTATCTTCTTAGTTTTTGGAAGTATTCTTCACTCATCTCCATCTAAAAGCTCAGCCCCCCTTATTTCTCTACTCATCCCCCTCTAGAAACTCTAGCCCTCCATATTGCGTTTTATCAATAGATGTGAAATTCCGTCAACTTGATAATTAGGAAACCATCGTCAATTACCCTCTGCTCCTCCTCTTTTCGATTTTTTATTATCTAATGGAAATGGCCTCACTGCAGCCATTGCAATTGCAAGTTCTATACCAATCATAATGTTCAACCTCACAAGAACCTTGGCCATAAATTGAAACAAGCAAATCGCGTGGAAGGATCTTTAAATGAAATTATAGCAATGCCCCCTTAGCATATGCAGGTGAAAGAATATAGTTCTGTGGCTCTTAGGGTGACGAGAAACAGCTTTTTATGGAAATATATTTGCTCAAACAGCCTTTTACGAGGACTAGGTTTGGCCTCCATTGGTTGTTTTTTTCACTATTATTGTATTGGGGTTCAAATAGTGGCTTCCCGGCCGTATCATGCTTCTGACATGTGGCATTTTATCTTTTGCAGGCAATAATGTTGAGGAGGAAGCCTGTTGGTGTAAGAAGAGTTGAGGTTGGTTTCCCCTTGCTGTTTGTTTGCATGGTTGCACTGATCAGTCTGACAGTTGGATATGTTTTACACCGCTAGCGGAGAACACTTCATCATTAGGCTTTTATTCAAGTCTCTTTAACTCTTTGTTAACTTTGGAAATTGTTCCAATGCTGGAGGTTGTAATAGTCTGTTTATCGCGGTAGCTTCATACCAGGATTGTTGATGACCAGATATAGAAGAAACCTATTAGAAAATGGATGTATAAAGAACTTATCTCTAACAAAGAAGAGAGAATAATCTCTTTTTCAGGAGTGACAGTTGGATATCTTTTACACCGCTAGTGGAGGCACCATTTGTTTGGATGTAAAATATTTTTTAAAAAATATTTTTTCTAGTGTTTGGTTATCGTAAAATATTTAGGAAGAAATAAAATATTAACATTTAACAATAATAACTTACCTATTAATTTTTGATAAATTATTCTACATGTCCCATTCAATAGACTCGATTTAAGCTTTTACTAAATACACAAAAAAAAATAATAATAATAATAATTATTATTATTATTATTATTATATATATATTACCTGAAAAAGGAAAATATCAGTGCTTGGTTGTTTGTTTTTGGGGAACTAGCAAATTTTCACTTGGACTGGTTCAAAAAAAAATTCATAGCGAACCCTAGAAAGTGCATTGCAATTGAAGGAGAGTTGCAACTGGTTTGAAAATGAAGTAAAGAAAAGGGGAGAGGAATTATTCCTTACCAAAATAAGTTTTGCCTTACAAAGCATGGACACCAACACGGGTATGACACAGACACTTAGATATGGTAAATCTTAAAAAAATAGGATACGAACAAGGCATATGAGGATAAAAGAGTAATCTGTAAGCCATCCAATAATACAAGTGATGGTTAACAATGGCAACAATGACCAACGGGTCAAGCCTAGCGGTATCAGACCCTTACTTCTCAAAGGGAGGGTGCATGTGTGTGTGAGTACCAACTATGAAAAAAAAAAAAAAAAAAGAGGCAACAATGAGGCAATGATACAGTTCTCACTTTGCTAACTGTGTCCTGCTTCTTTTAGACTTTTAGTGCCTGACCAAAATGAGTGATTCAAAATTTTGTCTCATTGGTATTTTATTAGGTTTTCTGAACTTCCTTTAAAGCTTCAAGTCATGAAAATTAGTACTTGTCTTCATTGCTATCTTAAACAAAACATCAGCTCAGAAAAAGCTCAACATTCTTTTCCTCACTCTTTTGAAGCTTGAAATTTGGGGAAATCATAGTTTTTTTTCCCAACAATGTTTCATGAACTTTAAATTAATTAGTTTTTGTTTCCAGATGATAGTCTCTTTGATCCATCTCACTTGAACTCCATCTAATCATTTCTCACTTCTCACCTTTTGGGAGAAGTCTTTACTTTTTTATTACTTTTACAACTTTTTTTTTTTAAGCAAGTTCAATTATTAACTTAGAGTTTGGGCCCTCCACCTTTCGGCGCGAGAAGTTTAGTACTTGATGAGGCTAGAATTCCGGCTACTTAGTGAAAAGGGTTTGTTATCCACCTTTAATTTCACTTATAATTTTATTTATATTAATAGACATAACTCATTTATATTAATTCCAACCAAACTCCTATTAAAATAAAAACAATAATTTTAGTATATCTTTGTATCCAATACTAGAATAGTTAAATTTGTAACCAAATACATCGAACAAGAGATAAGTTTTCAATGTTATCTTCTTGGTCTTTCCACATTGACCGATTATCTTCTCATTCCTCTAAATGGGCGTGTCTATTTCCCCTGTCCCTTAACTATCTGTCTCCTTTGTCTTTCATTGATGGCTCTATTTTACAATATAGTGATATATGAATAAATATGCATACAAAAGTTCAATCAAACCGAATCAAATTGGGACTTGGTAGACTTCGATCGATCTACACCAACAAACCATGATCATCAGGCTCTTCATCACCTTTTTGTTGCTTTCCCCTCATCACCCTTTTGTTGATTTCCCCTCACTTCCAGTTGCTCTCTCATCCTCTCCAAGATCTATAGTTGCTTTTAGCGTGTTGTCTTTGATCGATCCACACAAAAATTTGAACTGTTGTGTCCTCAGAAGTGTCCCGGCCGTGTCCGACTTAAATAAAAAGAAAAATAAAAAAATAGAACACCTGTACAATAGAGACGAATACGTATCCGACACTTGTAGGTCGTCCCTATCCTACGTGTCTGTGCTCCATAGATTTTGCCTCTTTGCTTGTGCGCGTGCATGGCGGGCGGGTTGGCTCCTTTTAACTTGACAAGTAATTGTTCTTTTTCTTCTTCTTTTTTCTTTTTCTTTTTTTTTTTTTTAATTATTAGTTTTACTTTATTTGTGAAAGATGAGTTATCTGCTTTAACGTCAAAACAATCCTTTTCAACTAATAATATCCTCACTGGTAAAATGCTTTATCGAAATACACATGCAAATTTACAATTTTTTTTCAGTGTATCTAGAAGAATTCGAGGCATCATTAATTTTGGCAAAATTCAATGAATGGTAAGACAAAAGGAAGACATTAATACACTCCTACTAAAAGCCATCTTATTGACTCATAAAAACAGCTTACAACAATAATCATCGTCTCATAAACTTTACATACCAAAAAGAAAAAAGCTCACCATGGCACTCAATTTCATCAGACTATAGCCTATAGGTAACACAAATATACACAAGTTGGAATACACCAAAAAAGTGTCTTACAGAAAGATAGAGAGGCTTTTGGATACTGTTGGGGGCAAAGGTGAGTCAGAGAGTCTCGTGGATGATGGACCCGTGTATAAACTCTTTGGGTCAATTACTGACCCTTGAGGAAATTGAATTGGCAACATATAAATTCATAAGCAACCTATTTTATAAATTAAAACCCTCAAAACACCCAACAATGGAACACACAATAAATATCAACAAAATTAGCAAACCTCAAACCAAAACCTGATGATATATGTATTGGTGTTGTGTGCCTCTTCTTAGCTCCCTCCTCAGTGCCATTGACGAACACTTTGTTCGGTTGGTGAACCAGGAATAAAGGGCACGAAACCCCGCCCACCAAAGACGGGACGCATGAAGGCATTGTCAAATTTTCGCCAATAGTGGTGGACAGTGTGAGATGGAGTGGATAGGAGCATTCGTAAACTGGTTGGACGGGGCACGTAGACAGCTAGGTCAGCTTCTGAATCCTGCCCGTTGGTAAGAAGTGGCACGATGAAGGATTTAGGAGTGGTCGGCTCAGAGGACACCGATCTGTTTAACTGCTTCGGTGAAGGCAGCAAGAGTCTCACCAGAGGTTTAGTCATCAACCCAAACACCTGCATATGCCCAAAAGGTAGGAGGTTTTAAACTACCTTTCCTTTTTTGAATATAATATGAACTTTGAGTGGGTAATAATAATTGGTTTTAATTATGAAATTTTAAAAGTGTCAGAACAGATATGTCTGGAAACATAAATATGTATGTTTTTTTTTTATCAGAGACCAACCACAGCTGCTGACATCAGTATTACACACAGAATTTGAAGATAGAAGTTCAAAAATAGACCCAATAATAATAATTTAATCAAAACTTACATATGCACACACAGACTTTAAAGATATAAGTTCAAATTGGACTCAATAATGTCAATGTAAAACTAACCAATATTGCTGAACAGCATAGCCAGGTTTAGATTAGACTGACCATAGCATAAGCAAGAACTAGTGGTCAGAGCTAAGTTCAGCATCAGTAAGCTATGCATCTTTAATCTTCGGGTTAAATCATGACAAAACATTGCAATTCACTAAAGTTTCTTATATTTAAAGCCAGGGGAACTAAGACTTAAGTGACTAATATAAACATATATACATATATGTATGTATGTACTTATGAACACCAGTTTATGCAGTTAAGTTCAGAAGAATTTCAGGGAACCAGTTCAGAAACTCCACCTAAACATACTGGAAACATTTTGGGAAAATCAGGAAACTGTTGGTAACCATTTAGGATGCTCTTTGGCATGGCTCGTCTTCAAGTACGAGCCTTGCACACAAGGCAGCTGGTATAAATTGTTAGCTTAACAATTGCCAGAACGTTTAGATATCTTACCACTGTGCTGAAAAGAATAACTGTTATGGTACTGGTGATCATGATTGCATTCTCCCGTAACTGAGTATGGCCTTTCCTTGTAAACTGCATGCATGAAATCAAGAACTCATTAGATAATATTAATTTTTTTTCCCAAGTCTCGTTACATAATATTCCCACATCATAAAATGATTTCAACCCCTCCCCCCCTCCATTCCCAGGTCAGTAGAAGCACCCATCATTATGTTTTTGTGCAGGACAACAAAATCTTTATTTAATTAAAAATTCTACCCGAACCAATTACCTGATTATAAGCAAGGGCCATAGAAACTGCACCTCGCATAAGACCAGCCCACCAAATTGTAACCTGAAAAATAAAATAATGGATTTGTTTAATATGCCAATTAGTGAAAGGACATTGGAAACACAAACACAAAACCAGAATAATAAGCACATACTTGCTGCTTTAACTCAATTTTATCAGATGGAGACTTCTTAGTCAGATTTGATAAGAATGATAAAGGGAAAACAAAGGCTGCTCTTCCAACCAGAATCAGTGCCAATAGTATTGAGCTCACCCCAACTGATGTTCCAGGGCTGAGAGATAGAGGAAAAAAGAAAAACAGAAATGAGCTAATATCCAAGCACACGGATTAACGTGGTTTGCTGCATCCCAAAATGTGATATGATGACTAAGTTTCATTTGAGATTCAAACAATACCTGTCGCTTACATATCTCCATTTTTCAATGTCCAGGGCGTCCATACCAACATAAAGAAAGATAAATATCTCAGCAACGAAGGACAATGTCGCAAAAGCATGCCTGTGAACATGGTTAAAGGGGATTGAGAAATTAGTACTATGGTAACTTGGGCATCATTTCTCACAAAATAGATAGTGAAACAAGAATTTCACTCCATAGCTCACAAGTTGGAGATATTCATACTTGGTAGTGATTCTTGAACTTTCAGTGACATTATGCCAGGTATAGTGGGACATCACAATCCCACAAAAGAAGACGGTGAGAATGGCACTCAAGTAAAATAACTGCAAGACAAAATAGGAAGGGATAATCAAAATCAGGGTTAAGCTGCCAAAATATCTATGATTTCAAGCTTCATATTCTTACTTGTCACAAATAAAAAAATAAAATAAAAAAAATAAAATTTCAAGTTTCATATTCAAAGTTCCTTTTTTTTTTCAAGGAAAAATTTAAAAATTAAAAGAAGAAGAAGAGGGAACCACTGTTGGGTTCTCTAAATAATGTGGGAAAACTTACTTCAGACAACATATATGAAAGGTATGCCATGAGAATCATAAGAGCAACCTCTCTATCAGTTGAGTGCCTGTAATATTTTAGCAAAAGTATAAAGAGTCGTCCAGTGTAAGAAATTGCAAACTCCTGTATTAGAATGCATGATATTATTTCTCTCTGCACAAGTTATTATAATATGAAACTAACATCAAATTAGTATCCACACACAATTTAACGTATAATATTACCTCACTCTCTCTCTCTCTGTGTCTCACACACACACAACATAGCAGCCAGCAAAAATTCACTTATGTGGTACTGATGATATGCCACCATAAGAGGAGCGGAAGCTGATACAAATGGATATTTGAATCACCTAAAAACTTAGTTATCAGAACCAGATAGTCCACCAAACCTGTTTTGATGGACATTTCATTCAACCACAAGTCAAGAAGGATGACCTGTCAGACTTTTCGAAACATTGAATTTACATCCCCAAGCCTTTTCCCAATTACTTGGGGTCGGCTACATGAATACCATGTTTCCATTCCTCTCTATTTAATTTATTTATGTTACATTGATCCTTGTTGCTATGTCTTTGAATTAAATACAACTGTCATTAGCCTCGTTGACTTGTCAGTTTAACCAATTAGTCTGGCGTGTCAGTTTTAACGAATTTGTCTGGCGTGATTCTGGTAAAAATGGCTGCAACTGTACTGTCCCTATGGGCTGCATTTTATATATAGCATCTGTTTCAAGCTCCCATTTAGATTATAAGGCACTTCATATACCATTGCTATTGATGACAGTGTGATGCAAATTTACTATACAAACATCTACAAACCTCCCAAAATAGAGCTTTTTAATGATAAATGCACTTAGCAATCCAGCCTGCAGGAGTAGGAAATAGAAAATGTCATGTAACCATAGAGCCAAAATCATGCAACACACATTCAAGAGAGAGAGAGACTCACCGCAACTCCGAGAACAGTGCTCATGATAAATAGATATAAGAAATTGCCGGCAAACTGAAAAGCTATGCTCGTGTTTATATGATTTAGGTCAAAGCTCTGGATTGCATTAAAAAGCACCACTGATGTTGCATCATTTACGACACCTTCCCCAAAAACTAGACTGTATAATAAAGGCGTTTCATCCTGATTAAGCACCTGCACTATCAGATAGGATACATTAATCTGTGCAGAAATGTTTCCGATATTTACAAGATAACAGCATCATCATGATATCTGTACCTGCAGGGTGCAAACCGAATCTGTTGCAGAAAAGATTGTTCCAATTGCTGCAAACAATTGAGTGAAATGAGACAACAAGAGGACGAATGATTATTTGAGCAAAAGAAGAGGCACGGAAAAAAAGACAAGGAAACAGAAAGTGAGCCATACCAAGAAAATCTCCTATATCAAGTGATCCGATGTTCATTTTCTTGAAAATTTTTATAGCACCTGGACCAACAAATGGAAATAAGTTGTGAACAGTAGTGCAACCATTATCAGCATTTAGCACTAATAAACTCAAACATAATAAATACCAACATTTATTATAATTTAATATCCCAGGAATTTTCCAATACATGACAGAATATGTAAGCTAAAGGAAAATAAATTGAATCCATAAAAGAGGTTTAGAAGACTCGTTTATGCAAGCATGTAGATCTAAATCTGAGAAGTAATGCGAGAATCAAAGGCAAGTAATCATTATCAACTCAACCTAAAAACTAATGCTTGTAACTTGTGTCCTTGAGACTTGTTCAATCCCTTGTTTAAAGTGTTTTTTTTTTTCTTGTCTTTTCTTCTTCTTTTTTTCCTGGTTCAAAGGATAGGTTGTTTATGTAATGGCCCATGTGACCATGTAAAGAATATTACCAAAAGAAAAGGAAATAGGAATAATTAGTAGTCTTTTTTCTTGTCTTTTCTGTTCTTTTTTCCTAGTTCAAAGGCTAGGTTGTTTATGTAATGGCCGATGTGACAATGTAAAGAATATACCAAAAGAAAAGGAAATAGGAATAATTAGCACTATGCATGACGACAATGTGAAATGCACTAAGGACATCAGAACATATATCTTAATTCTTAGGTGCCTCTCCATCTGCAGTTGCATAATTGTGAATTTTCCACATGTTTCTGTCTCTTAACCATAAATCAATTCAACAGTTCTATTAAAGAGGGAAAAGGCTCAATTAGAGCACAATCAAAGTGCTAGTAGGATATCTTATAGGAACAAGTTTGAAAAACTGCAGCCAACTAGTGACAGTCCTGCTCAATTGAGATGGTTGGGTGCTCAACAATTATGATGAAACCATTGCAGGAAATTATCAAAAAAAAAAAAAAAAAAACATTGCAGGAACAGCAACATACCTAGTGAGATGATGCCAAAGGATATCAGAGTACCAACTGCACCAAACAGCATGATAGTCATGAAGTTGCGAAAAAATTGTTTCTTTTTTACCTGGAACCTGATGGATTTTATGCATGTCAAAGGAAACGAAAAAAAAGATCAAACTCATATTCATGGGTGTGCGTAAAAATTAAACCACACAATATATATGTAAAAAGATCGTGCAATTCAGTTGTCTATTCACCAATTTAAGAGTTATCTTTGTGTCAAAAATAACATATTAGAAGCAATAAGAAAGGTAAAACAAATTTGGCTATCCTAAATGAAGTTGCAAAAATTTAATAAAAGTGCTCCTTGGAAAGGATCCTTGTCCAAAACTCCTTGGGGAACAAAGATCCCCATCACATGGAAACATGACGTACACATGCATGTCCAAGCACAAAAGCACAAAAATAAACAAAGTCTTGGCACTCTGCCTAAGATTAGTAAATGAATACTGCAACAGATTGAAGCTCAAAATAATTGGTCTATCTCATGCTCATTCGGCAGCAACCCTTAAAATTCAATCTTCAACTTGTAACCAGAAAAACTAAATCTCCATAATATTAAGACTAACGAAATCCCAGAAAACCATCAATTCCCACCTGCTAGTATTGATAAGATAGAGCTGGATTTATCAACAATGACATCAATAAAGCCCTAACAAACATTCTTGTTAAAATGTCAAAAGTTGGTCATTGATTCTTTCATGAACTTTAACAATCCACAATAGATGACCTAAATGGCGTTATCTATTAAGGAAGACACGGAAAAAATATGAGAGATGAGAGATTGACGTCTGAAATTATCAAAATGGAAAAAGGAAAACACAGTAGAAAGCAGTTAAGGATCTACTCATGTCATTTTATCATGCAACATGATTCAATTGCATGTCTTTAAGCTATATAAATCAAATTATAAAGGTACAAGAAAGCCTCAATATGCAATACATAATATGATAATGGGAAAAAATTATGGAGTGTTTATGCCAACTCAAAAATACTATCTCACTATCAAACTAACATACGTTTTAGAACAAGTAAGATTGAAGCTTTAATGTATATTAAGGAACCAGGAGGATAAGACATGGTGGTTTGTGTACGGCCTAAATCATTCCATTAGGCCAGGGCTGACACTAAACACCAAATTATAACTACCGGGATGTTGTGTGCACAACAACTTAAAAAGACAATAAAGTAAATTTGTGGTTAATTTGTAGAGACCATCGCAAATTTCAGATCAGATCATGATGTTCGCATAAAACAAAGAAAGTGGCGAAAATGCACAACATACCCAGCATTAAAAATTATAGGTGGAAGAAGATATATGAAGAAAAGATCTTCACTGAAAACCAAAAGATGTGAGCTTTTTCCTCCAGTAGTTAGTAGAATAATAATTCCAGTGCACAGACCCTGTCATCAATCCACATTAACTCAAATTCAGTTCACATTTACCCCAAAACATAATAAATAAAAATTTACACGTGTATACTACATGAATATCATATATGTTACATCTAGAGAAACTCACGATTGCAAGGGCTGTGATGGATTCATTCATCCAACGGTTCTCCTCCAACAGATGACCGATCACAATACACGCACAAAGAAGAGCAACAAACAAATTCATTGAGACCACCGAAGCGTGATCGGACGAAGATAGTCGTTCGCCCATGTTCGCCAACAGAGGCCCCAACATGAACCCCATCTTAGCCAACTCAATTGATCACAACAAAACACCAATCAGATGAAAATCACCCAAACTTCACTTCCCACCAGACGAAGACCAACCTCAATTGCCTTCAAAACTTGTTGTCTCTAGTTCAAACCATCATATCAATAACTATTTCAGCTCTCAAAAATCATATACTCGAATCAATCAATTACCCGAATCAATCAATTACCGAAAACTCAAATTCGAACCTACATATTAATATATGTGTATGCGTGTAGACTTACCAGATTTCGAAACGTAGCGTGTGGAATTTGAACTCTGCAACGGTGACGTGATTCACTTGGATCTCGATTTCGAAGATCAAAATCAAGCTAAACACAAACTAAGAAGTGTTTTTGCTTTCAAAAGGAAGCAAGCGAGTTGAATAAATATCTGAGATGCAGTGTTGAAGGAAAGCAGAGACTTATGCTCTACATGCAGAGAAATGTAGAGAGATAGGGTTTTAAACTTCAAATGGTTATGCGATCTTTGTAGAGAGAGAGAGAGTGACGTGAAATAGAGCGAGAGAGACAGAGATATGAATCAAGACAGTGCGAGAAAGCGAAGCGACAAGAACGGAAGGGGCCGCGAAAGCAAGTATATATAGACTTGGGAGCCCCAAGTTTGAAAGTGTAGCCGGTGATGACGACCGTCGATCTTGCGTACTACGTAGTATAAGGCTATGATGGTTGACTTGTCATGGGATTGGATGTAGAGTATAACTGCCGTTTCACTATATTTTTGGACGTAAATGGAGGGAGTGGAAGATGGGAAAGTGAGAAGGTCCCAATGGAATTATTTTGTCTCCTAAAGTAATCCGAGTATTAATAGAAAATTTTGCCTTTGCATAAACCTATTTTTGTCAAGAAAAATTGAAAATTGAATTTTCGGATCTCAATATTTAAAAATTATTTATATTACTCAAAAGGGTGTTAAAGAAGTGGAATCCAATGGAGTACAAAATGTACAACAGCCCATAATTCTCATACATGTGTTAGTAGTGTACATGTGTGACATTTCCCATGTGTGACATTTGTGAGTTGTTTGATAGAGTATTACACCGTGTAATAAAATTTAAATTCTGTAAAAACTAACCCAGTAGTTATAAATTTAATCTCCTCATGTTTTCTTTCTATTAATAGAAATTTTTTGTTTTTGATATTAGACGTATTTTAGTCAAGAAAGTTTAAAAATTGGTTTTTGCGTCTTAATATTTAAAAATTACTAATGAAGAGTCAAAACACTAGTAGCTAGGTATGGATCTTAATTTCTGGATTATTATTTTGTAAAAAATTGACACGTATTTTAATCAAGAAAGTTTAAAAATTGGTTTTTGCATCTTAATATTTAAAAATTACTTATGAAGGGTCCAAAACACTAAGTAGTTATAGATCTTAATTTCTAGATTATTATTTTGTAAAAAATTGATAGTTCAATTCCATCATTACGATTCATATTGGACACCAAGTAATATTTATAGTTCAATTGTCAACGTTAGTTTGCCTATTTTAATTTAATCTGACTTTTCATGGATTTATATTGGTTTTGGTCTCACGTGGAATAGTTGGATTAAATTTTTAATTCTTTTGAATGATTAATATTAGTAATATATTGTTTTCGGCGGTGACAGACATTTATGATTATTTTTGAAGAGGTTCATGTTGTATTTAGATTAAAAAGGATTAGTTCTTGATTTTTGTAATCAAATTAAGGTCTTCATTTTTCTTCTTTTTATCTTTATTTTAGAACACACATGTTGTCTGAAAAAGATCTGGTATATTCCAATCTTGTCCTTCAAAATGTTTAACCTGGTGGGATGAGTTTGTCTCTGCAAATCTTCTTTTTGTTCTCTTGGCTCTTCCGCTATAACAACCCCATCTCTTACCCTACTAATTAACGTTTGTTTTCAGGATATATCTCTCATGCGTTATGCCCTTTTGTCTGTCTTTTCCTCATATTTTTTTATTTTTCTTTTTTAGTAAAAGTGTAAAAAAAATTTCTAAAATTTCACAAAGTGAACAAAATACGCATGTGATATAAAAGTGACCAAGTCAATCTCTATATTTTCACAGAGCAATTTGCCATCTTACATTTCACCTCAGACCACTTTTTTCCCGATGTCATTGAATATTTACCAAACTATCCATTATAATTAATTCTTTTTAAAAAAGTAAAAATTATATAAAAGACAAAATATCTTAAACACTTTCTATAATAATATGAGACATTACATAACCCTAAATTGAAATGAAGAGAGCATAGTGAGCAAATGCAAATGAAAAGAAGAGAGCAAAAATGGGTTTGATTGGAACAAATTAATGTAAAAAGCCTTTTTATAAGAAGATGGGAAGATGGGGGTATAACAATTATATTGAAAGATACTTTTGGAATTAATAAAAAAAACATATCAATAATGTGTATCACAATATGAACGGAGAGTGAGGAGAGATGAAATGCAAAGAGACAAGTTGCTCAATTTTAAAATTATACGGATTGATTTGACTACTTTTATACCACTGTATTGTGCTCATTTGGTGACTTTAAGGGAGATTTTTTTGCACTTTTGACTTCTTTTTTTTTCTTTTTTTTTTTCTCTTTTATTTTCTTTGCTTTGTTTTCGTACGCTTATAGGTCTGAAAAAATAATTTAAGGGTACCTAACAACATCAAATAAATATGGAGGGAAATTGTAAATGAAACATAATAGAAAAGAGTAACAATTCCATCAAATGCGATGATCTAGTTGTAATACTTTAGATTAATCGTAATGCACGCGTAGAAACAAACAATAAAAAAATACTAATACCGAAAGAACAAACAACCCAAAACAGCAGAATTTCAACACGTATTTCTTATAAGGTGTTTGATGCAACTTTGTGGGGCCAAGTCCCACAAACCATTGATATTACATTCGAACTGTCTGATTAAATGTGTATCATTTTTCAATACTGTATTATTTTTCAAAAAAATTTAGGGCAGAATTTCATAATAGCAGTTGAATGTGCATTATTAACTTGCTAGGATATAAAAAGAACAAAAAAACAGAGGGTATATCCAATAAATTATAAAAAAACAAATAATAATGAAGCCTTATATGACAAAACCTAATTATAGTGAGGGAGCCTTATATAACATGTGCATATCAACCAATGTTTCAACTGCGTATATAAGCAGGATTCCTCTTCCATTCGATCACAAGTATATGTATATAATATATATATATATATATATATATATATATATATATATATATATATATAACTGGATAAGCACAAAGGTGGTCTTAGCTTGTCCACTTCAATTTGTTTGTCCTTGTTTGTATTAATGCTTTGGATGTTAGAAACACAACAAATTCCAGATGTTTTATTTGCCAAAACTGTGGAATTTTTAAATGCTAGTTGTGACCGACACTTATTTGTTGACATGTTACGTCAGCTGTATGTCCTTTTCTGTATATACTCAAAGGGAGGGAGTATTTAAGCACATGAATTGAAAATAATAAATATATCTCCATTCCATTTCTTACATGTATTATATAGTTGTGATATACAGGCTGTGTGTATATATTTATATACATAAAGTCTGTGAATTGAAGTTTAAAATTTTTATTTAAATCAAATCACACCGTGCGCACCAGAAATGATTTTTAAACAGATACAGATGTTGATTTTAATGAAATGCACCAGAGGACTGTGAAAGATTTTTTATTTTAATTTAACAAACAGACCAATACATTAACTTGGTGAATTACTGAATCTATTGATCACTACTCTGATATCTTTTAGTTTCAAATTAATGAATTTATAGTATGAGATCCTTTTAAATAGTAAATTAAAGTAATTATGTCTCTGGCGCGCGCGCGCGCACACATATATATATATATATATATAGATTCATTTATTTACAGAGAGAAATTGAGAGCGGTAATAAAGTCACTCCTGCTTTCCATGTTCACTTCATTACTAAAGAGAGAGAAGCATTTTAGCCAAAGTGCAGCAGTGCTTTAGCTGACAAATCTTTAAATCAAGTAATGAGTTAATGACACTAATATATATATATATATATATTATAGTTTGGATGATATATATAAATATATGTAAATAATCTGTTGCACACGATTTATAAAAAAAAAAAAAATCTACACCAAAAATACAAACAGTTGAATGTGATTATCATGCGTTTTTTGGAACTACTTTTTTTTTTACACTTAGATTATATGGAAAATTACATATAAATGGAGTCAAAATTCCATATTTACTTAGAGGCTGAGTCAAAGTTCCATATTCCTCTAAAATGGATTACTGAAGTGGCACATGGTTTTTTACTGTTTAGAAATTGTGGTGCCTAAAATACCCTTCCGCGAAGGTACTACTTTTTCTTCGAAGGTACTACTTTTTTGAACTGAAGGTACTACTTTTTAGTATCCAGGTACCATGTTTTTTAAACACTCGCGAAAGTACTACTTTTTCTTCAAAGGTACTACTTTTTTGAACTGAAGGTACTACCTTTTTGTTAGGGAAGGGCATTTTAGGCACCATAATTTTCTAAACAGTAAAAAACCATGTGCCACCTCAGCAATCCATTTTAGAGAAATATGAAACTTTGACTCAGTCTCTAAGTAAATATGAAACTTTAACTCCATTTATATGTAATTTTCCTTAGATTATATCCAATACTTAGTGTAGAGAAAATATCATTATTTATATATATATACACACACACGCACGCAGAGAAAGAGAGGAATTATATGTTGAGATATAGTTTTCATTGGTTCAGTAACCGTAGTCATCCACTAGTACTTGATTGGTTGCTAACTTGCCATCATATATACCTGGAATTTGATAACCCAAGTCAAGTCCACGTCACAAGAGAACTTGCAAACCCTTCCACGCAACCTCAAATTAACATTGCAAATTTGTCATGGACCAAGTTGGGTTCATCTTAAATTAGACCATATCTTATTAACCTCATGTCTAAATCAATTTCATGTTTCGTAACACGTAACAATACTAAGTTGAATGGATTTTGAAATTAAAATTCAATAATTCATTTGCAGACTTAACTTCACATGCCATGAGCTTATTTCTTTTAAAAAGAAAAAAACTAAATATTAACTCACACTTGAATTATTTTGAGATGTTCAATTCGTGTTGAAAATTTTATTTTTATGTATATTTTATTTTGAAATATATTTATCACGAAGCATTACTTTATTTGTTATAAATGGATTTTAGACTCTTTCAATGTTTTAAAAAGAAAAATATTATACACAAGTTAAAGTCGCAATTTTTCTTATAATAAATGAGTTAATAAATAAAATTTAAATAACAAACGTATATGATTTCATATTCGACAACAAAAAATATCTCGATTCCCAACTATTCACACCGACCGTCAATTCATTTTACATACAACCTTACTTAAATCACTTAAATAATATTTATTCTTATAATAAAAGAGTTAATAAGTAAAATTCAAATATGATATAAATTTAAATAATAAACGTATATGACTCCATATTTAACAAAAAAAAAAATTATCCCAATTCCTAGTTATAACATG